CCAAAATCTCAGACAATTTAAAAGTTCTTGTGAGGCAAAACACAGAAAACATGTATTTTTATAGGCCACAGATTGCATTTATATCTAGGATATCTTTTATATGTAACGAAAGGGTCCAGACGTATTGAAAGCTGTTACAGACACACACGAGAAAAAAGAAGGAAATTGCCCAACATGAAAGCCACATTATTCAGCTCTTAAAATGACGCTGAAATAACTTAAGCACAAATATTAAATGTCAAAGGTAGCAGATTATGCCAAAGTGCCTTCGCGTCTTTTTAATCTCTACTTCCATTTGAATGTGCATAACCATTAAGAAGGCTTAAGTACCATAAACTTCCATTACTTGTACATAAACAATTTTGAGAAAGACAGATAAGTATTGCTACTTGGAAACAGAAGATCGTTGGAAGACACACTGTTGTATATGCTTTTCGTCTGCCATTTTCTAAGAAATCGATTTATCGCACAAAACATTGTACGTAACATAAATTACAGATCTTATTAACAATTAAAACTCTTACGTGAAATAGTTTCCTATGTGGTGAATATTTAACAAATACAATAAATAATTATTTCCGGCTATATGTCGTGTAATTATCTTCGCAACAATGAGTTTCGATTTTCCTTGAACAAATGGATGTGATAGCTTTTTGTCATACGATGGAATTTCGGTTAAATAAAAATATGAAATTTGTTTACCAGTTGAATAACGATGTTCGAAAAATACCCTGTAAATTATGCCTTAATACTGAGTGGAGTACACGCCATAACACTGTTCACAGTGTTCTTCAGTCTTCCGCAAAGAACTCATTGCCGCCCAAATTCCTCAAAACGCGAAATAAATTTATTTTAAACAGTTTCAATAAATTTCGCCTTTCTTTTCGGTAATAAGAAACATCATACGACCATCAACTACAAGAAACATTCTTTAACTGTGACATTTCAAGTTCTTATGACGACGAGTATGAAGACAATCATCTTCATACTTCATCCGTCTAACAATAACGGCAATTAATTACTTGTGTAATTAATCCAGTCGAAGAGCGAAGTGTGAACTATGCAGTCATCAGCGCACATCTTGAAGATAGAAAACTTGTCTCCATAGTCTGAGACCCATCTTATAAAGACGTAATCCTCCATTATCTCCATTGTACAGGCGTGTGTATACACACAAGACAACAATAATCTATTAGTTTCCCTTTGCTTTGGAATAATGTTCAAATAAGTTCATATAACACAGATCTAAGAAACAATAAAATACGTTGTCTAACAAACAACTGTTATTTTACTGAATATTATAAACGGAATGGGCTTCTTCGTCTTCAGTACGTGGCCGTACCTAGGACAATGAGTTATCGCAACGTTAACCCCAAACGACCCCGAACATTATTACGACAACAAGCGGGAAAGAACCACATTTAAATATCTAACTCAATGGAGCCCAGTCCTTATCAGAATTTACCAATCGCTAAGGTGTTCAAGAAATTCCCACTCTTTCACGGAAACCAAAGTTTCATTACTGTGTTAAAAAAAATACCGCCGCTGGAATCTATTCTGAGTCGGATGAAGCCGGCTCACACCTTCATATTTTGCTTATTTAATGAATTTTAATATTAAACTATTCTCCCATCTAACGCATGTCTCCGATGTGATCTCTTTGTTCAAGTTTTCCGATCAAAATTTTATACGCATTTCTCATCTTTTCCATCTTCTTTGATTTGCTTGTCTTAGCAATATTTGGTGAAGATAATAAATTATAAAAGCCATTATGCCTTCTGTTACTTCCTCCCTCTTAGGTCCAAATATTATCTACAGCACTTTGTTCTCAAATACCAGCAACATATATTCTTGTATCTACATGTTTTGTTGTCGATTTTAGTCTTTTGTGTATTTATGCTGTACGGACTTGTAGGTAGATACCAACGTTTCGAAAAAAATATACCTCTGCCATTTTTAACCCTGAAGGCAGTGTGTTCCTTCTTTTCGTTGCTATATAACTAAAAGTTCACATGGCGTCACTACCCAGAAGACAAATAACATCTTCCAGAGCCCAACATTATTTTAGAACTGCATTACTTGAAAAACAAAATTTGTATCATATTTAATGGAAAAAGTTAATATACCAAAAATCAAATACGAAGTGCTGTTCAATATCCTAAAAATCATTCAATAGATGGCAGTGTCTGATCCAACCCAAATGTCACTCATCTCGTTCCTCCTGCAGAGTGATATTTAATCTCACTATAATTTCATTAAAAGGGAAATGAACCTATCACGTTTAAGTTCAAGGTCGTGTTTCAATTGTAACATGTGGACTGACCAGTCGACTGAACCGGTTCAGAAAGTCACTGACCGCCCGCCCAGAGTTTCGTGTTCTATCTCCGAGACATGTGTTGTCCACTGTCTGGCACGTTGCTTGGTATTTAGTTCCAAATTAAGAAGGACGGTCCAGAATTGCCCTAGACATACTGGATTTATAACTGAAGATACGCACATGTAGTTACAAAGCGTCCACTAGGAGCGCAAGCAAACATCAAACTGATTTTTGTGTAAATACAAGTAAAATATCCTATAAAATTGTACCGCAAACGCCACTCGGGTTATTTAATACGTTACTAATTCTTACTATGCCAACGTTTAAAGGACTCGGTAACAGCATTGGAAAGGTGTACATTTTAAGTAAAATGGCATTCCAGAGGTGTTCTTCACCTCAGACAGACGGTCATGGACTAGCCCATAAAGTGCTACGATCACGCTAGAGCATGAAGAATACTTTAACCCGCCTAAAGGTGGAAGAGAGATAGTAGGCGAATATTATATGTTTCCCTTGAATATGTTGAGATACAATTTATAAAACGAATTACATATAAAGAGTTGTCAATCAGTCCGTGTACACATACGAGCAACAGCCTTAAGACAGTGACTCTATAGTGCATGGGAGGAGAAAATATGGACCACGGCCCTTCGTCAAATCTTTCCTTCTCGTACATAAGTGACAGAGAAATTGTTGTAATAGCTAAAGCGAATGGACATTCGGACGGAACTGCAAGTTTTTCTTGCAAAGGCGCGTCTTCAGTTTGGGGATGGAGAAGGCTTCTACATATGGAAGGCGGCTGCGAATATACTGAATACGACGACAAGGGGTAGTTCTCAAGGCTGGATGCTAGGCGGGGTGCTAACAACGCCTTACCGTAAGGAACAGCATATTGTAAAATGCTGCACGGGGCCTCAGACTTCGCGGGCTCTTGTAAATACGGAATCCAATGACAGGCGAAGAATTTAATTATCAGAGTGACTATTAGATTTCAGAAATACTTCCATCAGTGGAGTTAATTAGTTAAAGTCTTTTTATAACTGGGGAAAATAAAGTAAGATACACACATTCGATTCAACGCCAGCCTTAAAACCTTTAGAATACCGAGTGGATTTTACGATGTTACCTAATTAATGTGTAATAAAAAATAGATTTCTTAATATGTATGGACTATGCTGAGTCGGTGCAAATAACTGATAACTATTAAGTAATAGTTACAGTTATAGGCCGTAAAAGATCCTTCTTGCGAGGTTGTCCGACCCGCGACTCTTCGAAAGAAGCCCCGCCGACTTCACAGTAAAGAGTTACTGATTACCCATAGACTGGATTGGCTACCCTTATATGAACCCCACCGCGTATCTGCAGAACACGAAACGCAATAACTACGGGCGAATTTCTCTAATGTATATAAATTTTAAAAAAAATTGCCTCCCATTCCTCAGGTGACATTTTCAACGGAGGATGTAACCACCTGCAACTGGTACAGTTACTGCACACACACACACACAAGACGTCTTGCTCAGCTTGAAATTGACGACTAGTTATTGCATTAATACATGTAAATGACAGCTATCATCCTGAGAACAAGGCAACCGTACAGACATGGCTTACTCAGCTTCATTAATCTTGACATACACGACATTCTGAAAACGGAATAAATAATCTGATGCTTCTGTCTCAAAGTTCTCATAATAAGGGTTCTACGTCTGTAACCACGGTTTTGGGGGCGTTTTTAATTTACTAAATGCCATTAACTCTTATAACAGTTATATTGTACTGCCTTTTGTATGAAACTTGTAGTACAGTATAAGGAAAAATAAAGATAACCAACCACCAAAAATTTCCCGATAAACACAAAGGAATTAAAAAACTAAAGCAAATGATGTTTCCTCGTAAGAACAAACGGAAATTTACGTTTTCATTGCCTACGCCCGTACTGAGAGGTCATTCCCGGAAAAAAAATCATTATCGTCGCAAAGGGGCAAGCCTGGTGCCGAATATGATGTAATCATGGCGAAAGAAATTCTTAGGACATAGAAGGTTTTGATCTCAAAGGGTTAATGCAAACTATGTTTCACAAGGATTGCTCCTGTGTTCACAAAAGTCAATCAGCGGCCAGAATACTGTTATAAATTAAATGAACACAAATTAAGTTAGTGATAAGCTGTACGTATGGCCAATCTTATTCATAATAATTGTTTGCCATGAAATATTTATGAAAAGATTGGAAAGGTGTATGCTAATGACGCACATAATAGGTTACATTTTCCAATACAGACTGCGAAAGGTGCCATCTATTAAGAATGTTCTCAGCATTATCTGGAAGGAGTGAACGGAATTAATTTTAGGTTTGTACCTATCGATAAAGCCACTGAAAACTGGGATTTAAATAGCTCTTTATAAGATTATTTACCAGACAGCTTGCGGATTTGCATTTTTTATAAATATGCAGATTTATTCATACTGTTTTTTTTAGACAGCACATTATTTCCATAGATAAGGATAAACTACGTCGCTCATCGACTAATACGGTTCGAATACTCGGATCGTGGATTATTTTTACACATTCTTCTGTGCTCCCTCGGACAGGCACCTCTTTCAAAGGCCCTATCTCTCACCAGTAGAGCACTACCGCATGTCTAACTAGTTGAGCGAAATATAAAGGAATCTACTCTGTTAGTTAAAACAGAAGAGGATGAACAATACAAAAAAGAAACATGTATACTAATGCTCAAAATTGCTGCATAGTTGTTTGTATTTCGGTCACATTGTATTGCTCTGGAACCTGTTATGTTTACCATGCGTACGGTAAGATTGCCAGATGGCTAAATTTTGTAATTACATAATTTTATCTATTCACTCTTTTATGGCCCGCGGAATCAATATTACAACAGCAACACTGAAATACGAAAGAAAAGAAAGTCAACAGAAGTTCATGCTTTGGAATGTTCTCTACAAGCAGCTCTGGACCTTCAGATAGTGTAGACGACCTTGTTTTCGGGAAGACCACATCTGCTGACAACTACCACTATCAAGCCATCTTACATAGACCCCTCCCTCACGTCAATTTTAATATATGAGTAGCGAAGTGTATAATTTTGCAATTGACAAGGGAATGGCCTTCTTACAGGTTCAAAAGAAAACAAGAGGTCAAAGAACTCCTGAAAAATACCTATTATAATCATATTTCGAAATATTAAAAGCCAACGCACTTTAATGACCAAAGAAAGGTATGAGTATAAACAGAAGTTCAGTGACATACACTAGCTGTAAAATTAATGACTACCTCAATAGAACCAGGGGTGAGGACAGATTCAAGTTATCAGCTTATTAACTTATAAAGACAGAAGGAAACGAATAACCTTTCTGTACAAAGCATTAACAAATTCTGATCCTTATTACATTAAAGAGCTATTCTAATATATGGGATACTTCAAATTTTCTGAAAATTCATTGTTAGCTTCATTTAATTTAATTTAAATAAGAAAGGACTCTGAGAAAACATTATTAAGGGCATAACATTATTTATACTTACTGAAGGTGAAGATAAAAAAGAATGTTTACTATAAAACATACAGTTAACAGTATGTGTAGTTAACATTTTTAAATCAAATTTCATGCATTTTAACATGTGAACAAATTTGGTTATAAAATGATTTACTAAAGGATTTCTACTGTAGACATTATTAAATGGTAATTAATAAACAATTCTAAATTTAAGAAATAAAGAGAATCACATCCTGCTAACCCATCCACAGATAATTAAATTTGTTTCATAAATTTCATATGCTGTTTTTTTAGTATGAATCCAGTAATATTTACTATCTCCTATAATATTTCATAGCAAATTACATTATATGGCTGCAAAAAGTCTACAAAATGGATGAATAATACTATCTTTGTAATTCTACTTAGTATGTAAAATATCTGGCTAGTGGCCTAAACCAAGGTTCAATTCCAAGTAGGGGATGGAGATTTCGTTTTGTCACCATGTCCACACCAACTGTGGGCCCAACAGCTTCCTAGGAGATGAATGCCGTTGATTTTTCTCCAGGTTAAAGTGACAAGAATATGAAGCTGACAACTTTCAAGGTTAAGAATGTATGAAAGTTTACCTTCACTTCACTTAGCCATGAAGATAATTTCCTCTTCAGTCAACAAAATTATGTGCTGGAGAAAATTTTAAAGTCTTTAATTCTAAACTGATGTGTCACAGTAATATACATTAAAAAATAATGAGTAAAATTCAGAGCATGTTATATAGCCCCTTCTTGATTAAACCAAATCAATTGATTTTCTGTCTGCGACAATACAAAACCTCTAGGAAATACAAGGGATGGGGTGGAAACGGACCACATGCTGATCTGCTTATAACCCACTACAACTCCTGCATCTGATGGCATCAACGCATAACAGATTACTCAGATAACCCCACCAGCTTATTTTAAATAAAAGCAAATATACCGTATGTACCCCTTCTCCCACTTCTTCCTCATGTCTTTCTGAGATGGTGGAAGGGACGAGAGAGGATGTACGTCAAAGTATTTAAGGCATGCAGTATGTAATCATCATCACAGTTTGAGAAATTTTGTTCTGGTTGGCAGTCTTCTCATTTCTAATTCCTTTAGTAAGTGAGATTATGGTTTAATGTACTGAATTTGTTCTGAAATGTGTTTTCTTTCCTAAGCGAGTGACAAGTGACAAAGGCTAAGTTGTGTGTCTGAGCTCATTTTCTACAGCTACAAATCATGAAAAATACAATCAGAAACATAAAACTTTAACTACTATACTTTGGAACATACATGCAAGAAAATACTAATCCACATATATTAACGCTCAATACTACACTTCAACATTCAGTAAATATAAACAGTACATTAGATCAGTTCTAAAGGTTTCTGATGATGGTATATTACAGTTGGTTTTCATGGACCTGAGTAGATACTCCCCACCTTTTCATCTCAGTTCAGAAACGTGTTCCGTTCAGAATACTAGACAATGGAGAAAGTTCAGAAACCCAGTAAAATTAATAATACATGTTACGGACTTATCATAGTTCATTACGATAAGTAGCTACGACTCTATTTCTCTTATGTAAGGTTGGGGCCTGATCCCTGGTGAAGAGGAAGGAGTTTTATACCTTTCCTTGTCTCTTGTTCAGTCAAGTATCAAAAGTAAATGTAGTCAGTGTGATGCTATGTGCCTCATGTCACACTGAAATCGTAATTTTTTCTTATGCCTTCATTGTTTATGTCTCTAGAATACCTTTCATTTAATTTCAAGATCACACTGTTTTGAATCCTTGGATGTCACTATATAATGCACTTTTAAGTCAATGTATAAGAAATTTCAGTTTCATATGGTTTGATATTACTTTTATAATATGTACCATTCAGGTTCTTAAAATGAAAGGATGTATTGCTATACACCTTTCTATTATTTACTGTCATGGCACCACACAATTACAAAGTTGTTAAATACCAGACCAGCTACGACCACCGGACCATCTGATCAATAGCTAAGTGCTGAGTTCAACCCTTGTGAATAACAACATCCAGTGCAGTGTCACTTGAAATACTTTTGTTAAATACCCTATTCATTATTTATTTTCTAAATCCAGTTTAAACCATTTGATCAAATAAATTAATTTCCCTGATGCCACTGATGATGACCTCTTGAGGTTGAAACGCGTATGGCAATAGAGTCTTTTTTATAGTGTTAATAGTTGTTTGTGGCTTATTTTATATACCAAGTAATTTGTTTTATGTACTAGAACATACATGGCCTCCTAGTTATGATGAGATGCAGAAGACAAGGAAATGGGAAAACAGGAGGATTCTATATTACTGATTATCTTACAAGTCTTTAAGTCTCTTAATGACCCTGATACTGTTTCAGCAATGAAACAATTGGGAGCTGTCATTCTGTTTTTCTACCTACTAACAACTGAATTTACATCAGCTGCCATCCAACTGGAAGATAACCGATACCTAGATAAAGAGGTAATTGTGACTAGAACAAGACTGCAAAGGTAACTCCAATGTAGTATGTGTATGTTACAAATAACATATTCTTTGTGAATTTGAATTCCTCTATTTTTATGATGAATTACTGCAGATAACAAATCATTTTCATCTTCTTAATTCTATCTGCTTCTGCCAAACTTACATGGCAAATATCGGTAATGAGTGAAATGTAATGTCTATTGACGATAAAGATTATTAGAAATAGAGGACTGTATTAATTTGCTTCCACTATATTCTTTAGCATGCTCATGTTCATTCTCATCAAAGAAGTTATTATCCACATACAAACCATTAATTTGTAAAGGCCATATTTTAGTATCTTCATAACATTCCTCTTTCTTGCCTTGTCATGATTCTACCATAATGCAGTTCATAATCAATACTGTTATTTCTGAACTATAAGACACATACAGATTTTATAGAGGGAATTTGGGGGGTGGGGTGGGGTGGGGGAGAAATTTTGATCTGTAAGACTCATACAGATATTAGGCATCACTTTAATGTAGAAAATTGGTGCCTTATATTCTGGAACACATGGTATACTTCTAGAAATACTAGTAATAGTTCGAAAGGAAGTACTGTAAAATAAGATATGTATAGGCAAATTTGGCAATACATTAATTTTGTAGAATTTTATGACTGTATTAATTGTGACACATAATTTATGCTGTACTTTTCTTACTGTGTTTTCCTATCAATATCAAGTTACAAACAAAGTACAATGGCAGAGAAGGTAATAAATCTTATGTAAATAACTGTGTGTTGTTTTATATGTATGTTTCAAATGTGTTACAACTGTATGTTGGTATCAAAAGAAGTGACGTGTTACAGGAGTTATCACAAATTTTCCATTCTTACTAGAAAATACTGAATAAGAAGACAGTGTATATAAGGTAGTGAAGATAACATGCAGGTATTTAATTTGAAATGACTGACATAAATCAGATGTTTTATATTCTTTCATCACTGTCTGTGGACCATTCCTCTGGCTAGTCCTATACAATAAGTGTAATTAAATCATACATATTTTATAATCAGCTTGTAAAGAAATTGAGTGCTGCTTATCCTTTAAAGTAATTAATTAATTTACTGCTTCACATGGAAAGTTTCAGACAAATGCAGTGAATGTCAGAGAATTAGCCACCTGGATAATGCAACTACTTTTACACAAGGGACAACAAACTATATGCACTCACAAGCGTAATTCAGAACTTATAAACACTCTGCTTGGACTGCCAAAAATACTGAATGAAGCTGGAAGGAAATGATATGGGTAAGAATATAATCATCTACATGAAACTCATTATCATGCATTTATCTTGTAAAAAAGAGTGGTAAGATGTATTCCAAACTGAGGTAAAAGTGCAAAAATCTTAATTTTGGTATAGTGGTTAGTACATCTGTTTCATGGTTCCAAATGCCAACATGGATCACAATGTGGGGACACATAGTTTGAATATGAACAGAGCCATTATCCTGGTACAGTACACTCAATGAGCTACAACTGATTTTTCTGCATTCTTCATAGTGGATAGAAAAATAAACTTAATCATTGTGCCATTTCTTATTTAAACACTATATAATGAATGCACTTGACTATACTGTGTTAAACTTCATAATTTCCTATGTATTGTACTGTTTGACTGTTTTTTAATCTTTCCTGTTTGTCCTCAGAGTGTAAATTGAGACACATGCATCATCCTGTTTACAATAAAATGTGATATTAATTTAATTTTTTTTATTTTCAGGTGTCAGATAAAAAGCACGTTGTTACTTATGTTTGACAACACAGAATTAATTTCTCTAAGAATACTTGACTCGTAAAGTTTTGCTTAAATAATTTTTTTATTATGGCTTGTGTGCATGAATGAAAAATAAAATTGTGTAAATAAAGGTGAATACTGAGTTTAATTTAATTTTTACAGCAATTCATTACTATCCTATGACATCATATGGTATTAAAAAACTGAGTAAGTATGGAGAGGTGTATGCTGAGTTTATGTTCTAAATCACATAAATATGTATTGTTCAAGACCCTTTTCTCCTGTAAATGTAGTGATGAGCTCTATACATTTTATTTTTACTTAGTATTGTTGGGTGATTGAAGTTAACAAGCGCACACACACACACACACAGGGGAAAGAAGAAATCCTTATAAAATATTCCTGTAAAAAGAAATAAATGTGAGAAATTAATAGCGTTAGAAATATAACATTATTCCATGTTGTGAGAGTGACTTACGTACAGCTAAATGGTACTTCTGTGATACTGGTGTTAAAACTTTAAGGAATTTCCTGAACAGTCAGATTGCCAAGGGAAAGAAGAAGAGGAAGTGAACCAGCTCTGTATGATACAGCGTACTTTGGCTGGGCAAAGTAATTACTGCATTAGATAATGTTATAAGTTCTTTATGGATGTACTGACAGTTAAGAAATGTGAAGAACTGATGAACTCTGAATTTCAACTGAAGAGTGATTTACTGGAAACTGTAATTTCAGAGAGTAACCAAATAGAAATGGCTTGACACATAAACTGTTTCTATGAACTTCTGTTTCTACAACAGAAACTGGAGTTTTAAAAAAAAAGTATCTTTGCAATGCAGAAAATGCATGTGGAAACTGTGTATTCTAGTATGGATTATACCTTTGCAGTATTGCTTGAAAACGTATTTGAGTTTATCTCAGAATACATAAATAAATACAAATATTTAAAATAAATAATTCATAACTATTATATAACTTTTCTCTAAGTCTACCATGTCCCTTAACAAAGATGTAAAGTACTTTGACCTTCAACAAATGACAGAAATCAAACAGGCAAGAAAGTATGACAATGGGTTAAAACTGAAGTTCATACAGATGGGCAAGTTATGTCCTATGAAATAATGCAAACATTTTATGTAGAATTGGGACCCATTCTTAACAAAAGACATAAGCAGAATCCAGCTTTTGAAATGTTGTAATTTTTTAATTGGATAAAGGACAAAGTAAAAAAGAGCAAAGAATCACAATTTAACATATCATCAGAAACCTCCAAACTTTGACTAAGCAAACAGTTTGTACTCACCCAGATGGCTGAAGGTAAAGTTCTTCAAAGGAGTCTCCTCGTACAGAACAGCAGATTTAGTGGCCCACTGAAAGGAAACGAGTGATGGTATGGGATAGGTAAAACCAAGGAAAGAATTACGTAAAGTAAAATATACAAACACTAGTACAAAAACAAATTCCACTGATGGCTAATCTGAACAAAGCTTTCCTAGACTGTCCTCTAATAATCTATCCAGAGTGGTAGATTATCTCTGACACAAGACACTAAATTATTATACCTGAGCGTATTATTAATGTAGAAGTCACTTACTGATAGAAATAAATTTATGAAGAGTAATGCAGTTTAATTACATACAATGGTAACTATGTGTATCACCTGCCTTAACATTTAATAATTCTGTATTTTATTCACAGAAACAATCAGTTATTTTATGGTGGATAATTCTGGGAATGATGTGATACCAAGATCTTTGGAAGAAGTATAAAGAGAAGCTTTTGCGGTGACTGAAGTTGATGAAAGATGTTATTTTATTGAAGGAATGAAAAGGTTAAAAGAATTTAAACACCTAAAAAATCCCCTATAATAACTGAAATAAACACAGTTTTGTTATCAAAATAAAAAAATATCTGTACAATTTATTAACCATAAATAAAATTAAAAACACCAGTTTCTTTATGTCTACTATACTAGTGCAGGATAAGAGAAAAATGATAAGAGCTAATGGCTACAGCATTAAATGTTTTACCAGTAGAATCATAAACAAAAATATGAATGCAATTATGCACACATGACAAACAAACACACGTAACATGAAAACCTGAAAATAACTGACATTAGGAAATGGAAGGGAAGTTAGAATAAGAAGTTAGGACTCTAATTAAGTTGATGCATAGATAACTGAAGAATAAAAAAGTTTATTTTCTTTTTGGCTTAAGTCAGTGACAGATTTTTTTTAGTTATCAATCCTAGGATTGGTTGGCAGCCCCATTACGGGGCTTTTCCTTGCGAAGGTACCACAGTGGTTTTTCCTTGTCTTCCGTGGCCAGTCTTTATCCAACAGACTGGAAGAGAAAGGACGCAGACAAACATCCATGCCTTGAGCGGGACTCGAACCCACAGTCCCAGCGGCCAGGTGCAAGAGGTCCATGACTGACAGATTATGATACAACAATCATCATGGATATGTGATACTACAAATAGGGGATGTGTACAAACCAATTAAATTCTACTAAAGAATAAAGTAACCCCCCCAAATTGTTTTATTATCCCTGTAGAAAAAAATTACAAATGATGTCTATTCGCGAATTTTGTATTGGCCACTGTCATACTTGGTATTATAATTATTACAAGAAGCAGATGCCATATTATTTATATATAGAAATAAAATTTAAATTATTATAATTCTGGTCTTTGCTATATTTCAACATATTTCTGCAAACACATAAAAAAGTTTTTTGCCTTTTGATGCTAAGAAGATTCAAAGGTGGAACTTGATGTTGCAACTCACACTGCACATTATCACTGGACTGCACTGGGTGATGACACCTCTAAATGACATGTTCTCTCAGCATAGTATGCATGCAAAAATTATAGGCACTGAATAACCAATTCAATATGGATTTAAATTCTTATGTAATATACAACACAATGGTAAAAGAGTTCACTTATTCGATATTTACCAACATTATATATGAACCAGCACATCAGGTCAAAACTTCAGACTGAAACCGGGACCACTTGTAGATCGTCCCTTCTCCAGAAGACCCATATGAAACCCTCCTGCAGGAACATCTTCATCTGTATCACCCTGTAAGTTAAACATGGCAGCCATAATTTTTTAAAGGGAACTCTAATTTGTCTATTCATCTGCCAATGCACGTTCCATCTACAAAAAAGCTACTGAACAAATATCATTTAAATTTGGTATTAGAAAGAAGACTAAACAAAAAGCTTATTTGTAAATTTAATTTTAGTTCAATGAGCCGACTATAACCCATTCTTTATACAGTGCACAAATCAAAATTTATAACTTTCCTTGAATATAAAACTGACACATGACATAAGAAGTAAATCATATTAAAAACCCAAGGTTTTTACTTGAAAATATTTTTACATATGATGTGAATGACTTTGCAATATTTGCAATAAATGAACACCAGTGCTAAATGAGACATACAAAATCACAGAGAATAAGTCTGGAAAAAACACACACTCCAAACTGAAGTACACCTTTACAATCTTGTGTCACGCTTTACCCCTGGGAAAGAACCCTGGCACCCATTACATAGGAGGCTGGGTGGGCCTCAGAGCCAATCTGGATGCAGAAGCTAGAAGAAAAAGCCTTTGCTCCCATCAAACCTTGGTCATGCAGTCTGCATTCAGTCACTATACTGCATGAGCTACTTGGCTCATTAGATTTTCAGATATAGCAGTAATAAAGTTAATTCTAAATAAAGTTTTGTGCTAAATATACAGAATGGCTCAAGAGTATGTATGAACTGAGAGCAGTTGTAGCAGGATAGTAAAACAACAACTACTTACCAGCTGTTTGTATTCATGTCCACCAGGTGGAGGTTTAGGGCTAGCAGCTGCAGCTTTCCTGTGACCCAATTCACTCTTGGCTGGCCAAGTTGGGAACATTGCTGGGTCAATGGGTAGAGGAGCTTCATTGAAGTAGTCATGTTTCAGAGCATCCTCTGCAGTTATACGCTGAGCAGGGTCATATGTAAGGAACCTGGAAAACAGGAAATAACTATTTTCAGTACTGATAAAATGCAGTGGCTCAGTTTTCATGACAGATTTTGACACACAACAGCAAGAAAGATAATGTACACTTACATTACTCATACTCAAGGAATATTAAATAAAAGAGACATAAAATGATTTCATGTTAGTACCAGTGATAAAAGCAAAGGATGAAGCAAATTACTTTCTGGACATTATCCATTGTCCCACATTTAATAAAACATGACATTTCGGAGATTGGAATCTATCTCCATCTTTAGGTAAAACCTACTCTGTTGAGCCTCTGTCATACTATGTATTTTCTACTTGATCTTCAATTTTTTCATTCCTTGGTATTTCAGTTTCTTGGACTTTGGACAGAATGTTAGCTTGGTCAGAGGTACCAAATCCTATCTATGTTGTGCAATTTTGGAAAATGATTTTCCTTTCTTATCCCCCACGGATATGTGCTGCCCCGCTTAGCTCATATGCCATGACTTTTGCTACTGCTGTGTCTAGAGATGGGGAATAGCTCTATCAATTGGGCCCAACAGGGTAGGCTTTACCTGAAGACAGAGATAGACTCCAATCTCTGAAATGTTGTGTTTTATTAAATCTGGGTGGATAGACAATGTCCAGAAAGTAGTTTGCTTCAACAACGCACCATCGACACAAACCTTCAGAATTAAGTTAAAAGCAAAGTATGTCAACAAGATAATTTGAATAGTTCTATTTCTGTGTGTAAATATCATATGCAGAAATTAACACTTGTTATCTCAGTGTCACTGTTTGAGACTTTTCAGTAAGACTGGTACCTTAACTACATCCAAATCATCACAAACAAATTAGCTTGATTTAATTTTAAGGGTATTTTTTCATAACATGCAAAAACAAATGACCATTTTACATTAATATAATCAATTAGATAATTACAAAAGAAATCTCAGTACTTATTGTTGTTTTGTGGGAATATGCATAAAGGAATGGAGATAAATTCCCTCTTTTCACATGGTATTAATAAGCAAAACTTATATTTTCAACAGTGTCAATTTCTAATTACATTAAAATGACCAAAGAATGGTGTATTTTTATGGAAGATATTATACACCAATACTGAACAATCAGAGCAGCTGGATACATTTTCACATATTATGTATGCTACTTTCTTTGTAACCTTAACTAATTTTCTGTGAAAATCACAGTTATGAAGTTAAATTAAATAAATGAATAAATTTCCCTATGCTATTTTAAACAAGTGATGGTTCCTTCTCAATCTGAATAATTAATGAAAGGGGGAAGCACTTCTTCCACAGAGCATTGAATTTATTAACTTACAAACTGTAAGTTTCTACCTGTTCATGAGATCCATACCAACATCGGTAATCATGGTTCCAAACCGAGATCGTAACTGGCTTACAGGGTACTCCGTGAATGTCATTTTCTGAACAGCTGGTAGTTTACTGTAACCAGGCCAAATCTTTTCATTTGGAGTCCCCAGATCCTGCAAGTCATAAAGTGTGTTTAACATTATTTCTATGAACACTTATTTGTGCTTTCATAAAAATTAATAAGTTGAGTAAATTACCACTGGAGAGAGAACCAAGTGAGAGAAGCTATAAAAAAGAAAGGACACAGATATATGAGGAATGATTGTGGGAGGAGAGAAAAGAATGGAAAAGGCTTCACCATAAGATAACCCATGCTGGTGGAAATGCCAATGGATAAATATTGTTTCTACTACTACTAATACTGCTATGTTTATAAAGCAAGCCATTATAATGTTAATTCCTGTGTTTTGAATAAATCAAATACTGTTAAAACTAAATGTTCAATAATTTTATTGCTGTGGAATTCTTTCAAACTCAGTACTACAGTGAAACCTCGATGCATCGTTTTCGGCGGGGGTGGGAAATAAAAACGATAGATGCGGGAAAACGATAGATGCGGGAAAGCATTAAAAATTTAAAAAAAAAACAATGTTTCTCTTTCAAAGTTACTTCTTTTTACCAAAAAAGTCTTTAATGGACAACTGGTTTGTCGAAACTTTACGTTTTAGACCAAACAGAGTACTTTCCACGTTCAAAATGTTTTCCTCGTCACGTTCACTAATACTATGCGCATAAAAGAACGACTTCACTTTCGCCAATGCAGCGTGTGCTTCGGCAAAACTCGGCACAGCTTCGGGCTCGCATTCGTCGTCTTCCTCACCGCTCCCACCCCCTTCGCGATCGTCACACAACTTATCAATCGTGTCGACTCCGCATGTATTTAGCAAGCTCGCTGTCCACTGCCGCGTAGTCACCAAATTTAACCACGTCTTTCACGGCGCCAAATCTATTCCAGTCTTCGTGAAAGCCATCATGCTCATCCACACTGACGTTAGAGTCTGCTTCTGTGCGAAGTTCACACCCGTAGCCACCTTTGTGAAAACAATTCAGAACAGTTGGTTGGGAGACATGCCGCCAAGCTGCCACTGTGAAATGAATTGCTTGTAGCACGTCAATTTTCATGTTGACATCCTTCCCAGCATCCAATGCACATACAGCTGTTTGCATAAGGCGCTTTCTATACAACTGCTTGAAAGATTTTATGATGCCCAAATCAAGCGGTTGCAAGACGCTCGTGCAATTTGCTGGATACTGCACGACTTTCACATTTCGTAGAAATGTCGTGTCCTTCGGATGAGCGGCACAATTATCAACAAACAGCAAAATCTTTCTGCCTTGTGCGCCCATGGAGGCATCCAGAGAACTTAAAAACGCCGTAAAGATGTCTGTTGTCATCCAAGCCTTTTTGTTGGCGTGATATTTCACCGGAAGTTTTTTCATGTTTTTGAAACAACGCGGTTTTCGTGATTTTCCAACTACAATCGGAACCCGTTTGTCACTACCGTCACTGTTAACACACAGAAGAACAGTAATTCGGTGTTTTGCACGTATTCCCCCGTGGCAAGATTCACCTTTCAATGCCAGAGTCCTATCCGGGAGGGCGTTGTAGAAAAGTCCGGTCTCATCCGCATTATAAATGTCCCGCGGCTCATATCCCTCCAGCAGTGTTGGCAGTCTCTCGAGCCACAGCTCCGTTATTTCCACATCCACAGCAGCACTTTCGCCTTTCCTTTGTCCTTGTAATAAAAGCATTTGTGAAGAAATTCACACTGCACATGCCATCTGGCATCGCTGGAACGAAATATGAGTGCACCCTAATTAAAATCGTAAAATTTCTGACAATGAGCATCGCCATTCACTCCAACTATCACCCCTGCACCGCTGACCCTCATTCCAAAAGAATGTGCTGGTTGGGCGACATAACAGGTTACCGCTACTGTGTATTCCAAAAACATTGTGCATCTTTCAGTATTAATTTATCTCAAAACCCAGCATTTTAATTTCTCAGAAACGATCATTGCGGGAAAATTGTGTGCTGGGACTAAGATTTTTTAAGGATCGATGCGATAAAACGATAGTTCGAGGAACGATAGAAGCGGGAAAATGTAACATTATTTTATATGGGATGTATTCGGGACCGAACAAAACGGACGATGCATCCGGGAAAACGATAGTTCCGGGAACGATAGATAGAGGTTTCACTGTAGTAGCAAAAATTTCTATCAAATAACATTCAGCATAATCTGTGGAAAGTTTAGAAATAACTATTACTACTTTTCTAAACTTTCCTTCAATAATAAATGATACCTTAAATACTCGGTTAAGTTGGTCCACTTCAGATTTTCCTGGAAATAAAGCTTCCATGGAAAGAAATTCACCAAAGATGCATCCAACAGACCACATGTCAACTGGAGTAGAATATTCCTGTAATCAGATCATGGTGAACTTAAACTGAAAGGAAAACAAACATGGTGCTTCTTCATTCAACTAATATTTCATTTGCGTTTGTTGTTTAGCAGTAAGAGGAGTCACATTCCAATAACTCTGAGACTTCAGAAAACTCAGAATGTTATAAAACATTCAAGTGCATGATATAAACTATCACTTACCTTAGTGCAGAGCAATAATTCTGGTGCACGGTACCAGAGTGTCACCACTATAGGGGTATATGGTTTCAGTGGAGATCCATACTCTCTTGCCAGTCCAAAGTCTCCTACTTTTAGAATGCCTTTATGGCTCAACAATAAGTTGGATGTTTTTAGATCTCTATGCAGAATCCAGTTGTCATGGAGATGTGCCACAGCTCGAAGAAGTTGTTGCATGAGACATTTCACTTCTCCTAAAGGTAATTGAAAAAGCAGTGGTAAGAACTGCATCTATTCTAAGCTAGCGATATGTATAAGGTAAAGATGTGAGAATATATACACTTCATAACAAAAACTGCAGTGTCAATTTAAATGTGCTTTGTATGTTACTTTTATCTAATTATGAATATATTTCTTCTTGTGCTAAAATAAAGATCAGGATTTTTTTTATTTTAACCATCACAGAGATCAAGAAAAGCAAGTCTGAAAACTAATAATGTTCCTTAAAAATATGAATGAGTGCTAACACTACAACAAAATGTACGTGTGTATTACACAATGTAGTTTTTACTTTCTGATACACTCTGATGGAATATATGTATGCAATATGTTATACTACAAGGCTTTAAATTAAAAGACAACTGGCAAGATCAGTTCATAAAGAATTCAAAGTAATTAACTGAAAATTCTGTTACCTGGGATGAAGACCTGCTTCTTCTGCTTCATTGTTTCCATAAGTGACTTCAGATCATGCTCAACATAATCCATAACAATGAAGATCTTGTCCATGTTACTGCCCACAACAATTTCCCTTACAGTAACAATGTTTGGGTGCTGAGCCTGAAGCAACAACACTATTATGCTACAGAGATAAAGTTCATGGTCATGTACTGAAGAAACTAGACATAGTACGGCGCAGTTTGAGAATAACAGATATATCCTTTTCATGTACATGAGGATTTACTATAATTAAAAGTACAGAAAGATGTGTTTCCATTTCAAACACAGTTTCCAAGTACATTCTAGTTTCGATGTTAATTTATTGCAGATTTGCTTTCCTGACTGACATAAACAATGATAGAAATATTGTGCTACACACAAATATACATTACTTTTTCTTGTAGTCTGTTAAATGTACAGAATATTAAGACATGTTTGAAATGAACACTATTTAACTTAAAAAGTTTTATATTTTACATTATGTCATGATAACAGTAATACAGGATTACTCTACCAGAATGTAACAGACAGCAGAGGCTGCATAGAGATTAAATGGATTCTGGCTTAATTAATGTACACAAGTGAAAACGTTGGGTCAAATGAATTTAACAGTACAATGGTGAGATGAAAAAGATATGAAAGAAAACATATGTTTCTCTATGTTGCTCTGTTTTAAGGTGTACCCAAGCATTTGCCTGAAGAGACAGGATAATAACATAAAATATGTCACAAGTGACCATGATCCAGTTGAAAATTAAATGAGGTATCAAGTAATGTTTGTGAATCTGGAACATTCTGGGAAAGATTAAACTTTCTGAATCTTAAGAAGTATAACTGGATTTCTACAAAAATCATACTTACCTTCAGTAGTGTGTTGATTTCTCGCAATGATGTGATTGGAAAACCTTCTTTTTCCTTCTCCATCTTTAATCTTTTAAGAGCAACAACTTCTTCTGTGCGCTTATCTCTGGCTCGATATACTACACCATATGTACCTTCTTCAATCCTGTAAAAAATATCCAAAAGAGCAATCATACCAACAATCGTTAATACTCTGCTATTTCATACATATAATTCAGGTATCAATCTTTCAGTACTCTTTGTTAAGTATGGAAAGGTAGCTATATATAAAAACCTAAAAAAAACATAGATGCAGTATTAAGGAGAATCATAATGCAAGTGGGACTTCAGAAATGTGCAAACATATGCCAAATTTTACGCAGTGCTGACTTACTCATTCTTTTTTCAGTTGCTTCAGCAACTAGCTTACCCTTTATTTTGGACAGTTTCAAGACACAAATGACTTGTATACATAACTGGGGTATATTCCTAACAATAAAAGCAAGTATATATAGAAATGTTCAAATTGAAGATGTGTATATCATGACATATATATATTATATAAAGAATTGCCTAATTAAAAAGTACTGATAGCTTATGATTTGAGAAAGAATATCTGCCCCAACTCAAGACATCCTACCCATAAAATAACAATGCAGTAACAACTAACAGACACAAGCTAACCAATCCTGCTTCACCTCAAAACATGCATTAATAATTTACCTATTAAGACACTGAAACTCTTCCACACTTCTGCATCCCTGGATAGCTGGTAGATATGGTGGAAGTTCCTCTTTCAACACAATATCTGACTTTGGAGACTCATCATTGATGAATGGAATTCCATTCTCCTCCTCCTCGTCATCATCTGAGCATTTATCTATTGGCTTTGTGGTGGAAGCTAGTTTCTTGCTTTCATCTCCACTGCCATCTGATCCTGTATGTTCTTTCACTGAAGTAGGTGAATGGTTCTGGCTATTGTAACCAGTTTCATCATCTGTGTGATGGCCGCCAGAATCAGTATCAACTGAAAACCCACGGTATCCATTTTCATAATATTCAAATATAAGATATATTTCACATTTTAAGGGGGGAGAAAGAGTATATCCAAATACGCTTTCCATGACTCTTTCTAAAAAAGTTGTTTAATTATTTATTGCTTACTGGCAGAGGTTAAAAAAATGAGAAAGGTGAAGCATGGAAGAAAAAAATTATTAACATATGAATGACAAACCAGCATCATCTTCCTCAGACTCTGTGCTACTGTCACTGTCTTCCTCCTCCTCTTCTTCTTCTTCCTCTTCTTCCTCTTCTGCCTCACTGGAAGCTTCCTCCTCTTCTTCAGCTGGACTTTGACTGTCTCTAGTATCTACACCCCCACCTCCAGACTGTTGTTTTGCCTCTTCTCCAGCATGGAGTTCCTCTTCTGAGTCATCTGACACTGTCACAACATTGATGGCATCATCAACATTCTCTTGACCCTCTGCTGTGAAAACAATAATAAAATGCAACTCATCTGAAATGTGCAATGTACTGTTATGTAAATAATTTGTGTAACTGCTAAATTTGATGTAAATTAAATTACATGAATTGCAGGGATATATAATTCAGTCATGGGCTTAAATAATAACTGACACATATGAGTTAATCTTCAGCCAGCACTATGACAAAGGCTATAAATTAGTGTTGACTTCCACATGAGCTTTCATATCTCTAACACTCATATGAGCCAGATTTTAATATATGGTAGAGTAAACACAGAAGAATCAATACATATACCTCAATAACAAAATACCTAGTACGATTTAAGGTTCCCATGGTAGTGAGTACGAAGATGGCTATCATCTGGGTTGTAGTGCCATGTAGTCTGGTAGATGTTTATCAGTGTTTGTGAAGTCTTTGTTGTCTCCATCATCATTACCCTAATCATGGAGGCAGCAAGAACTTCTCAAAATGTATGTAAATATGTACCAGAATAAACAGTGCTACAACCCAGAAGGCAGCCAACTTCAAACAAGAACCTGCTTATACCACTAATAAGTAACTACCACACAGAAACAGTGTTGTTGAAACTTAGTGGAGGGAATAAAGTTTGACTTCAGTCACAGTGAGTCAAAAGCCACATACTTTATAAAACAGACAATATGATAGCAAAATATGTTCACTATGTCAATACTGTAACTGGAAATAAAAATGCCAATATGCAATCTGGCAATCACTCCAGTACCAGAAAAACTACATAAATCCCTCCTAACAACTGGGAAAAATAAACAATGTGCAAGATTCAAAGCCAGTAACATCAAAGGAGATGAAAAAGCAGTTTCTGGGTTGGAAGTTCTTCAGGGTGTATCTGACCATTTAAATGCATGACAGTATGTTCATATCAAATCCTTCAGACACCAAGCTTCCGTCTTGTTTTAAGGTGCAAAACTCTCTTTCAACACTTATTCTTCTTCTAGTCAAGTTTATCTTGTGTGTTTCTGTTACAAGTAACCATCTTCTGAAGTATTGAAGGCATGTAACATTCCAAATTTAATAAAACTACCATGCTACTGGCATAATTACAATTATAAGCATATAAAGTATAGCTAAAGTTGCCCCTGTGCTTAATTCAGAACTATAAATTATAACACATACATGTTATATAACATAAAATGTACACATACAACACATGTGAATTGCTTGAGGCCAGTATGAAATTTCTAGACTGTCTGAAATATCCAACATTTGTTTAAGACACTTTTATACAATTCTGATGTATCACTGTCTTCACACTGGCATAAACCTTCAATGATCAAGAAGGTAATAATGCAAAATTATGATTAAATTTTCCCCCTTTACAATGAGTTTCTTACTTTTCCTTACTTACCATTTCTTTCTGTACTACTCTTGTTTGGATCACTTTCCTCTTCTATTCTACGTTTCTTCCTCTCTCTGCTGCGACTGCGTTCTCTTTTCTTAGCAATTTCCCTGAGTGTACGTTCTTTCTCCTTTTCAAGGTGCCGACGTTCACGTCTTGCTTCCAACTCACGTCGGTACACCTCTTTCTGACGCACCATTTCCCTGTCTGACGTGCCAAAAATAACACAAGATCCACAACATTTTAATTAAATTTTATATCTCTAAGCACAAAGAAAATGTAAATAAAGTAAAACAGAAACATAAGCATAGTTTATCATAGATAAAACAACAAATTCTTCAAATAGAGATCAAAAGTGTTGCTTAGTATCATTAGACTAACTGAACTTTCAAGTAAAGCAATTCAGATCATGTATAGTACGCAGCATTTGAATCCACAACGTGTGTGAATATATATGAGCTCAGCTTTTAGTTCACTATAATACTGTTAGATACATGTAAAGCAGAAACCAGCATAGCTCATCTGTGTGTGATAAAACTGTGCAGATGTACCTTGAATGTACATAAAAGTTATATATTATTACACTTGTGCATCCTTAAAAAGACCAAGTTGGTTGGTGTAACAGGAATTCCATGGAACAGATACCATCTTGAGAAGATAATATTTGCTAAGCTAGTCATGAAATTGACCACCTTTTATTGAACTGTGTTCACACACACTAGTCCCTATCCTGTACTAGATGAATCCAGTCCATATACACACAAGCCAATTCTTTCAGATCAATTTTAATACTATCGTCCCACCTATGCCTAGTCTCCAAGTGGTTTCATATCAAATTTGTGTATGCTAAATGACCTACTCATCATATCTTCCTTAATTTGATAATTCTAATAATATTATAAGACTCCTGATTATGCAATAATTTGGAAAGGACAGTAACACTCCGCCTCTTAGAGACAAGAATTTGGGAGAAGTCTAGTTTGAATCATGAATGTGCTACTGGCAAGCCTAACTGAGATCTCTGTCCTTTGTCAGTTTCTCCATGTGAATACTGGGAGAGTACCTAGTACCTTCAGAGGTACATTGGCTGACATCTTCTAAATCCTTAATTACTAGTCATTCATGATCATGAATTATTTAATTCACTAGACAGAAGTTGTATAAGCAACAATATTAAAGCATCAAAAACATGACACTGACAGAACAACTGATAACAAAGACTGGATGACTATGGCTATGAATGGAAGATGAAAGAAACAAACAGAAGGGAAAGGATAAAAATATTGTAGATGTGCATGTATGTTCAACAGTAGCAATAATTCATCTGCTTTCAGCAATTCCCAAATTACTATTAAATTGTAACAGACTGTATTTCAAAATCAGTATACATGAATTACAGTTATCTGCATATGAGGAAATTCCTAACTACAGGGCTTGAAAGTGAAGAAAAAAATCCCACTTTACCAGGAAACAAACACTGGTCATCTTGTCCATAGTCTTATCACTACTGACATATTATACTGAAATGTTAAATTTAAGTACACTTTTACTAAGTTCTTACTAATATTTTATACTTTTGTAAGATGGTAGGTAGTCTGTAAAGTGCGGAGTTGTCATCAGCAACACAAATATTCATCACCATACAAGGAAAGAGCATGAAAAACATCTATTTCTTGATTGTATGATAAAACACATGCATAGTGAATATAAGAACAAAATGGTCTGACTTCATGGGTGGAAGAATGGAAAATGTCACCAGGAACAAAAGTTTTGTTTCACTTTCACAGCCAGGAAAACTAAGAAAATCAGTTACAGAAGGCACTATCACACACTTACAATTAGGATGATACTATTTACTTACACAGGAGGGAAATTTAAAAGGAAAATGTAATGCAAACATGTGGAAAAAGGGCATTCATTATAAAGAAATGTCCTGCTGCTAATGTAAGATAAATGTTGTGTGCCATTTCAGATTTCAACTGGTACTGGCCATAAAATGAACTAAGATGGAAAACAATGGATTCTGTTAAAATAAATACTGGAAATAAATGCCCACAATATAGGGGATCATACATTAATCCTGGGGCAATTTATAATTATAACGATGATCCCAAAGAATTCAATAGAAATATAAGAATTGTGTCTTTCAGCTTACAAGGACTTCCATATTTGAACTTCCATTCATCGCCACTGTCGTCCAGTTGGTTTGATTCTGGAACAACAACAAACACATTCACCTGAAGTTCCTGGCAAATTTCCTTCCTGAATTACTATAGTTGTGTGTAGGCTTTTTCTGTTACTTCAGCAAATTACCATATAAATGTCCTAAAAATGACCTGACCATCAAACTTTCATAAATATGCCACTATGTACATAAATAAAATGCAGGCAAGAAGTACATAACATTTTATAAATTTATATGGAATTTCAATTCAGAAGACTGGAAGAAATCAGAAGTATGTTCCGTTAACTTCTACTTCAATTTCTATACATGTTATATGTGGTACTGTGATCATGGATGTGAGATTTAACATAATACTTTGAACTGAAGAAATGGTTTTTGAAATGCTGAATGTATCTTTACATCACTGGTTCACCAATTTCCTTTACAATCAACATTTAATAGTGCTTATTTGGGATCAAAAATGTCAGCACAGTTCACCAGTCAGACACAAATTCTACTCACCATACATTTCCTCTACAAAAGAAGCTGTCACAAACAACTGACTACAACTAACTTCTACAGTGAATGGATCACTAGCTATCAGTTGCTCTTATCATCTCAGATGTGTCAAAACAACCAAAAATGAAACACATCAACCCACCACTCACAGAGTGATGAATAAAAACAACCAGCAAATTGTATTTTGCTCATATCTTTTTCCAGATCCTATATTCAAACATGCCAGTATCATGTTAAGGCCTCTATACCTATTCCTCTTACAGATTTACCATTCAACTTCTGTGAAGAAACAAAAAAGTGTGTGTGTGGGAATATTAATGTAGAAATCAAAATGTATTCACTCAATGACCTTAATTTTTCACTCATTTGACCTTGATTTTTTACTTGCCATGGATGAGAAGATTAGTGAGTTTGTTGAGCCTTGGTGTTTATGTCCTATGAAGGTAATCTATGAATACAAACAAAATAACTGAAAACCTAAGAGTACCTTACACACTATATATTTAATGTGGCATTTTATAAAAAATACAATATTTCACAGACATGTGCTATATGACTTTCAAAATCAAATAAAGCTTCAGTTGGGAAAAATAATTTCCAAGTCCATACTTCTCATGTAGGAAGTCTGAAATGAGCAAGATATATAATTTACCTAGATGTGTAAAAATGTTCTTTTACATTATTTTCATATCTGATGAATGCAGAACACTGAAGGTCTATTATATGCTAGCAAGAAAATAGTTCCATAAGTAAACAGAGAAAAAAAATCAAGTATGTGTTCCTGTACTGTCACCAGACTATAGGACAAAATAATATAAAAGCAGCTAACAATCCTATCAAAACGTTGCAAATTTTAAATATTTAGGAATTATGGCAACATACCAAAATTGCATTCATTAATAAAGAAATTAAGAGCAAATTAAATCTGGGGAATGTTTGCTATCATGCAGTTCAAAATAATTATCTTCCCAGTTATCTAAAATTGTATAGATTAAAATACTTAATTTTATCAGTTATTTAGTATGGGTGTGAAACTTGGTCCCTCACATCAAGAAAATAAAGTGTTTGAGGATAGAGTGTTGAGGAGAATATTTGGACCCAAGAGAGATGAAGTGACAGGAAACTGGAGAAAACTGCTTAATGAAGAACTTCATTATTTATACTCTTCACAAAATATTAATGAGAGGACCAAATAACGGAGAACAAGATGAGAAAAGCATGTAGTACACTTCAGAAAGATCAGAAATGGATACAAAATGTAGGATGGAAAGCCTGAAGGAAAAAGCAACTCAGAAGACCTCCATATGGATGGGAGGCCAATATTAATATTAATGTTATGGAAATTGGGTGGGAATGTGTGGACTAGATTCATACTTCTCAGGAATTCCACTGGTTGCATATCCCAGTGAACACAATAACAAACCTCCATGAAAGGCCAAAACATTTTGACTAGCAGAGTGATTATTAGCTTCTCAAGAATAACTCAAATCAATCACAGCTCCAGTTTCCACCTACACTGGGCACAAAGATTCACATTATTTTTGCTTTTAAAGAAGATCAGTATAACTGAGAAAAAATGATATACAAATTACCTACAAAAAAGGACATATTTTTTTAGAAATTAGTATTAGTACTTCTTTCTCCAAATTTAGTCAATAATGAAGAAAATGTGTATTTTTAAAACAATTCATGAAATGACTGTCCAGTGATATCCAGCAAACACATTAAAATCTTCTGGTTCCACTCTAAAACAAAAACCATAGTGACCGAATCCTTCACCCAGTACAAGCAACATACCTGCTTCTAGAAGACGTTCCCTTCTCATCTCCTTCTCTAAACGCTCAGCTTTCTCACGAGATGACTCTCTTGGTGCAGTAACCGTAATGATGTCTTCTTCTACTACTCTTCTTTCACGATCACGTTCTCTGTCTCTTTCTCTTCGTTCTACTTTTACTCTGCGGTCTGTTCCTCCACCACTAGCACTGCCACCACCAGCAACTCCAGCACTGGGAAATAATACATGCAAATGAATTAAATTACTGTGCATGTGCTCATGTAAGCCACACCTAAATTTTTTTAAAAAAAAAAAATCATTTATAAGCCACATAAAAGTTTTTAAATTAATTTTCCTTCAAATACTACCAAATTTACAATTATAGGTGATTTATTATAAGAACTTCAGCTGCCAATGTTTCAACATATCAGAGGTTTTATTTCAGCATTGTGAGGAGAATCAATATTCCATCTGCACCCATGCAACTAAATAAGGATTTCAAGGTTTGCAGAATTACATGACTAGAAACAGAAACATAGTACGGACCCTAACTGAGAAATCAAATATTTTATCTGCAGTACTCTTTCTGGATCAGGAATTGATAAAAATCCATATTCAAAGACATTACTTCTTTTACAGCAGAATCATTAAATCTATTATTAACTCATGTAGGCAAATCTTTCTTAATGTATTACTTTACCTATTGCCTCTTTCTGTGTCACCAATACCACCACCACCACCACCACCTCCACTTCGTCCCTCATTCCGTCGTTTGTCGAGCAGGCGCTCCCTCAGATCTTCCAACACACGTTCGCCACGCTCATTTGACATTTTGTCCTTACTTCTGCTTCTCCCACCAGCATCTGATATTCCTCTAGAATCACGCTCACGACCACTTCCACTGCTATTTATAACATCACGTTCACGATCTCGTTCACGTTCCCTCTCACGTTTATTCTCCCTGGCTGCTGCAGCAGCTGCTTCACGCCGCTCCCTAGTAGTAAAAATCATTCAATGTATACAAATCTACGAGAGTACATTTTACTTAACCCAGCTACTTTATCACATAAGTATATACAGGAAAAGGTTATCTATAATGGCACAGTATTAAACAAATTCCAAGGTGCAGGGTCCTTTCTGAAATGCTGGTAGTCACTCCCACTGCCAATAAATTCATAGTATTTTAACCCAAAAGTTGACTACTATCTTAACTGGATGGTATCCCAAACCATCTAAATCCAGTACACACCCTATTAATTTATGTTTCCCCAATATATAACATCAATATGCAAAGTCTCCCAAATGGTCTTTTTTTTCCAGTTTTATGACCAAAATTTTGTGGGAATTTCTCAACTTCTCCATGTGTGCCTCCATGCTCTTCTCATCTCATCCTCCTTGATCTAATCACTAATATTATATGAACAGAACAAATCTAAAGTCCTCATTATATTTTTTCTGCTGTGCTGTTAATTCCTCTCTCTTTGGCCCAAAGATTAGCCTCAGCACTTCCTTCTGAAACATCCTTCCCTAAGAGTGATCTTTCCACTGAGTGAGAGACAGTGTTTCAGACTCATATAAAACAAACAAATATCTTTCAGAAAGTAGATAGGTAGATAAACACTTCTGAATAGGAACTTTTAGAATTCTAAATTTAGTGTTTTATACTCACCGATGATGTCTTTTCTCCCTTAATCGTTCTTCTCTGTGCTCTCTATGTTCTCGAGTTCGATGGTGGCTTTTTCTATGAGATGAATCTGGTTTCCCATGTATCTATGCAAAAAAATATTATAGCATTTTCTATGAATTGAAAGAATTTTGAGCTCTTCATCAAAAGCTCTCATAAATCTCCCATAGTCCTGTAAGTCACTCAATGGGAATCAATAATGCTGATTGTTATGATACAGAATATTGTCTTGATGTCTGCAGGGCAACTAAAGGAATGCATATCGAAATCTACTGAACAGGTAAGATTCTTGGAGAGTTTCTCTTTATTTTGATGTTTATTTCATGTCTCTATCATGCTTTGTTCCAAAACTATGACTGTTTGTTACCCCACCATTATTTTACAGACACACTGTACAGTGACTACAAAGGGCTTTTCCACATTCACAGCCAGAAGGTGATTGATACCTCTATATATAGCTGCGGTTTATGATGCATGCAGTTTTACCTCCACTTTCTTTACAAGCCTTCATGACATGGTACTTACTGTCCATGTCATATACCTTGGCATCTTATAGAAGGGAGCAATGTTTATATGACATGCTCTGCTTTATATGATTGTCATTCATAGATATTTAACTGTTCAAGACACTCATTTCACTCATGATATCAGAAGGTTCATCACTGCCATCACAAGGCATATTACCGGACCTTCCAATCCAAATCAAAACTTCACATAATCAATTTATCTATGATACATATTAACCTTTATCATATGGGAACTGAGGATTTAATTTCTGTACTAGAGGTCTGCTGGCCAGACTATAATTCCTGGTTTATGGTTCAGTAGTACATTACTATGACTGAATGTATGCCATGATGCAGGGCCGATACATGTTTATAGTATCCTCCCAGTGAAACTTACCTCTAATTGCTATGGAACTTTAAATAAATAAACTTACATGCTCACGTCTGCCACTGTCCCTATCTGAATGTTTATCTCGCTTATTGCTACTACTGCGAGATGAATTAGTCTTGTGGTGATGTATAACAGATGCTTGGGGAGGTTTTATGTCCAGTGAATCTGCCGTATCATCTGCATCTTCCTCTTCCTCTGACATACTATAAAAATCACATAAATAATCTTCATCCATCATGTTTACTCTTACAAATATAAAGCGTTCACAGGTACAGTTGAACGCAAATGCAACTTCCCGGCTAGACCGAATGACTTACCACCAAGCCTACAATGTTTTCCGATACAAGTCAACAATCTGCTCCATTTAAAACAATACAATCAATGTACATTTTTTGTAACAGTTCCTGCCAAGAGTCAGGAGGTAAGAGTCACAACTTTATTTGTGAATGCACTGTAATACGAAAATTAACCAAACGCACCTGAATGCTGTATCATCTTTTGAAAGTTGCATCGGTGATTGCTTATGTGGACTCTTCGTTATTTCACCATCCTCACTCTGATCTTCTACTTCCATTTCCGAAACATCATATTCTGACATGGTTCCAAATTCGTATGCTTACCAGTAACACAAAAAACATCTCGCATTAGCATGTCCACAATTAGACATTGCTTCCGCATAATATAACCATCCATGAAGCCATGGATGTGTAATTCAGTTGTGAAAGTTATTACTTCTGCTATTGAATGTGTTATCGAATCTGATGTGAGACGAAAAAGAAAAATTTAATTCGAAACTGAAAATGATGTTAAATTTCCGAGAAATATGTCGGTTATGTATGGTAAAAGAGGAAACTCTATCACCTCTATTCTGCGAACAAGTTCCAGATACAGTAACCTCACTTTCTGCTAAAATAATGAGTTTTGTTCCAGTTCTTAAGGTTTGTTGGATTTAAGAACATATTGTCTGCATAAGAGGAGACGGTTTTTTTAGGTGAAATATACATTCTGAAATGAATTTCCAGCCATAGCTGGAATGTATTTGTTGTTTGTATATTTAGAATGGGCCTAACGATCTTGATTGTGAAAGCTGTATCTTATTTAATATGAACTAAATCCAAAATGTTTAGTCTCACTAAATAGACTTCTGGATACAGGTTTTGTAAAGTTCTGTAGGAGGCAAGTTTTCTTTCAGCTTTGTGCAGATGATGGTCTGCCAGGCCAGGTGTGTCAGCGATGTTCTCAACTGGTAGACTTATCATATAAATTCAAACTGCAGTGCGAAAGTTCAGATGCCAAATTACGACAGCATCTGACGTCTCATTCAATTCAGGTAATTTTAATATGACACGTAAGTGACCAATTTTATATAGCTATGAATGTGTGGATAATATAATTTTTCTCTTTCTAGGACAGCAAGGATGAATTCATGCATTCTGTCTTCACAGATGACAATGAAAGTGACTGGTGTTACACAACTGTGAAAATTGAAGTAACCGAGGACATTTATGGTGATGACTGTGTCAACCAGTCAGAAAATGACAGGGAAAGCAGGTTGGCATGTACTGATTATAAATACTAGTTTGTCTTCTTTAAACTTTGTTTGCTTTAATTCAAAGTCCTGGGTGTTGTCATGGCTTTACCCAGTCCCTCTAGGCAAATGCTAGGATAGATAAATAAGCAAAGAGAAATATAAAAAAATATTCATTACAGTTTGTGGCCTGTGGTTCCTGCCCAGGGAGACTCTGACAATGAGTGGAAAAATATTGAACCTGATTCTTCAGTAAAAACAGAAAAGATTTCTTCAGAAGATGAGACAAAAATATGTGTAAATCATACAGCTGCCAAGAAGAGTATTAAAAATAGCCCGAAAAGGGATTCATTTGAAAAAGTAAGAAGGAAATGTAAAGGTGTGCTTTCTTCAAATAAAAGTGATACAAACAATGTTGAAACTATGAAACTGAAGAATTCTGGTAGAAATGGAAAATCTTCAGTGATGACTGATTCTGTGCAAGATGAAGTAAAAGAAAAGGGACCTCTGAAAAGGACAAAGCCAAGGGCAGGAGGAGAAAAGAAAGGATATCTTTGTCAGGATTGTGGTAAAAATTTTTCTTATGAGCAACATTTATTATTGCATCGTAGGACCCACACCGGTGAGAAACCGTTCTCATGTTCTGTGTGTGGTGAATGCTTTAGTGTGAACAGTAATCTCAATAAACATATGAGAACACACACAGGAGAAAAACCATTTCTTTGCACTGTTTGTGGTAAGAAATTCAGTAGAAGTGATACATTGACAAAACACATGAGATCTCACACAGGAGAAAAGCCATTTCATTGCGCCGTCTGTGGGAATAATTTTGGTCGCAGGAGTGTTCTTACAAATCATATGAGAACTCATTCAGGGGAGAAGCCATATTTATGTACAGAATGCGGACAAAGGTTTGCGCAAAGTTACGATCTTACCAAACACACGAGGTCACATACCGGAGAGAAACCATACCGGTGTACGATGTGTAGAATGAACTTTGGTCAAAGGAACAGTCTAACAAAACATATGAAGAGTCACCCAGAAGTGCCGTTTCCTTGCATAGATTTTTCCAAAGGGCTGTCATACAAGATAGAAACAACTAGTATGTTGCCCCATTCACAACAAATAAAGCTGTTGACACATTCATATAAATATTAGTGTTTATGGGGCAGATAACATATATCAGCTATGCATCATGGCTTACACATGGTCTAGCTGGCTGTGCACCATAGTAATATACTGCTAAACCTGGAATTGCAGCCTGACTGTCAATCCATTGTATACTGTTTAAATCCCCTATGTCTGTACACTGAAGGTTCATTTGTGTGGTGATTTCACTGTGTGTTTATAATTTTCATAATATTGTAAAAACTTGTGAACTTTAATTATTCTGATTATCAGCCTGAACCTAAGCAATCTTATGTAAACATTATTTCTGTATTCAGGTCTGTGGCCTCAGAATGTGCTTACAGTATATTAATACATTGTTGGGCAGTACAAATTCTGCATCTTGGTATGACAATTAAACCTTTATCAGTGTTGTCACAATTTATGCATAGTGCAGTTGGGCATGTGTTGCAGCACCTTACTGCTAAATGTTAAACATATTTATGTTATCACTATGAATCTAGGGGGAAGGGAAGAGGAAGCAGACAGAACTGGGATTCTGCAGTACATTGTAAGGTAATGTCATATATATACTTCACTAGGGAATAAAAAATTGATTTTTTGAATGGAATATAAAGGACACACTCAAACCTGCTGAAATTGTATATACTGTTGAGTAACAACATTCCTGGGTGATTTTACAGCAAATACTTTGTTCATTCCCAGATTAAACTGAGAATTATTCTGGTGACTTGTGCAATTCAAACTGTAAAATCAGATGTAAGAGAAGGCTGTATGTATGTGATGCTGATTCTCCAGTTTCTAAACACATTTCACAGATCATTTAAATGCTTATTTTTTTGTTAAGTTGGCACATTTGGACCTATTATACAGATTTCCTAAGATAATGCAATATTTTCCTTGTTATCACTGAATAAATAGGCACTGTGTTAAGACATCCAGTATAATTTTATAATATAGTCCATGTCTTTCAAAATGTCAGCATTTCATAGTGTATATGGTGTACAAATATTCAAAAATTCAAGATGGAATGTTTATACAACAGAAAATTCACTAATAGAAACAATCATACCACAAAAATACATGTGTGTGAACTCTTACTATTTGGCAAGCATACAGTAACAGTATTACTATTCTTAGAAGTAATGGCCTACAAGCCAACTTTCAAATATATATTTGGTTGTTAAATTATCAAACAAAAACTTACATAAAAGATATAATAATTCATTCACCGTCCATACACAAACTTAAAATGTTGTTAAAATTTACTTAAAATTACATAAAATTACAACATTTTTTAGAATTAGATCTTGATACATTTCACATTTGACGACATGTTTCGGTGTATTACACCATCATCAGGTCAATCAATTTAAAAACTGTTTTAAAAACTGTTGTACATCCTGCTCCGCGTATATTGATACGTTTGACTGTTTTGATTTTCTTCCTTTTTAATGCTTGGATGTTTATATCTGTAAAATTAATTTTCAAATCATGATTTTTGGAATTGACATAGGAAATATAATAATTTACAAATTTAAAACTTAATATTTAAAGGGTTATTACCGTAATATAACGTAATACAATGTAGAAGAATCATAATATAGTAGTAGAAGGTAGTAAACATACCGGGTTGTAAGTGATGCGTTGTACGTCCGATATTATGGGGCTGTAGATTGCAACTGAGCTATGTGTGTTGTGTGTGGCTATATATATTGAGTGAAAGTTGTTCAGGTGGTTGGGTCGATGGACTGTAGAATATTAAATATTGGGTTGTTTGCGTAGATGTTGCTGTTGTTTAATGCTATATTTTGTTTATGTGTTCTTTGTATATGATATTTCTCTATTGTGTCTCTGTGTCGTTTGTTTTGTACTATTTTTATAATGTCCATTGTTTGTTCTATTTTGTTGTATGCATGTCCCGTGTTTAATATATGCTTTGCATATGCTGAATAGTCTTTATTGTGTTTAATTGCTGTTATATGCTCTTTATATCTTTGACTGAAAGTGCGTCCGGTTTGGCCTATATAGGTTAACGGGCAATCATTGCATTTTAACCTATATATGCCTGGTTGTTCATATTGATTTTTTGTGTCTATTTGTGGCTTTTGTTTCAAGATGTTTTTTATTGTGTTTTTTGTTCTAAATGCTATTTTTATGTTATTTGTTTAAAAGAAATTAATGGAACACATCAAAATACATGTGCAAAACTTCACGTTGTGTCCCCGAGATTAAATATGCATTCAGCTCTTAAAAACCAAACTACAGTGATTTATATAGGGATTTTTTGCCTTACACTCTTCACCATATGTTCTTACTGCTGGTAACTCAACATATTTTGATCTGCTGTAACTGGAATTATCTTCTTCCTGGAACCAATAAAATAATGAATCATTTCCAAGTAAACAATTACTACATTTTATCCTCATTAGTAAAGGAAAGTAATACAATAAATATTTTCTACATGAAACCTAAAGTAATTAGCAATGAGATAAATCAAATCAAAACACTTTGCATGGTATGCATTTCCTTCATGCCTGAATGGTCCTGGTCATTTTTTGAAACCAATTTATTTTGTATTGATCCTCAAATGACATAAAACATTTAAAAGGAACCTTACTGTGGAGCCCGGTGACACTGAAGTTTACACACCCCATACATACAAAACCAATAAAATTGTTGTGAAATCAAATTATGCAGAGTTCTAGAGTCTGGCATGGCAATCTCATTAGCAGAATCTTCTATCATGCTTATATTGCGGGAAGCCTTGATCTGTTGGTACAAAACATTTTTAAACACAAAATACTGTTCAGTGTTACTCCAAGCAATGATGCAAAGCATTTTCAATGCATACAGTTTAGGTTAACAATCGAGAACACACATGAACCAGAATCCTGGATATGTGTATCAAAACAGCACACTCATTTCATCTCATTACTTGAAAGTGGTCTCTAACATAAACACTATACAAGAAAATTGTGACACTTCTAACCAATACTATTTCAATCTTTGTACTCAGGGCAGCTGGCCAGACTTTAACTCTATAGAGTCAGCAGCAGTATGCTGGTGTAAAACACAGCAAGTTACACTGTGTGCATAACTCATGAAGTAGTTTCAAAACAAAGGAAAGTATACAGGATGGCAAGTTTTCAGACTGAATAACAAGAATTTGCAGAATATATTACTCTGCTATTGTAAAACTCCAGGAACTGTCCTGTGGAACATAATTTGGGAATCACATTTCCAGAGTAAGGAATAAACTACAGTGTGTGATGTCGCATTGAATTTATAACTGAAATTATATACTGTTAACTGATGACAATGAAAAATAAAAATGGCCATCTTCTGGGTTGTACTGTTGCTATAAACCAGCAGGCAGCCATTGTCATAATCACTACTGTGAGAACCTCATACCTGAAAATGAAAAACTTTTAATGACTTCTTACCAGTGCGCATCCTTATGTCTTTTAAGAGTACTACACTCACTGAAACTCTTCCCGCAATTCGTACAAGAAAACGGCTTTTCTCCCGTATGCGTTCTCATGTGCCTCTTTAGTGTTCCACACTCACCAAAGCTTCGGTCACACTGATTACATGAAAACGGTTTCTCTCCAGTGTGTGTCCTCGTATGTCTCTTTAAAGCCCCACACTCACTAAAACTTTTACCACACTGATTACAAGAAAATGGTTTTTCTCCAGTATGTGTCCTTGTATGTCTCTTTAGGGTTCCACATTCACCAAAGCTCTTCCCACATTGTTGACACGTAAATGGCTTTTCACCTGTATGAATCCTCAAATGTCGTTTTAACGTTCCACAATCAATAAAGCTCTTTCCGCATTGAGTACAAGGAAATGGTTTCTCCCCTGTGTGTGTTCTCATATGCCTCTTTAGTGTACCACACTCTCCAAAGCTTTTCCCACATTGAGTACATGAAAACGGTTTTTCTCCCGTGTGTGTTCTCATATGTCTCTTAAGAGTACCGCATTCTCCAAAACTCTTTCCACATTGGTTACATGATGTGTGCATCATGATGCACTTTGTTCATAAATTACACTATTTCCACAAAAAATATGGCAATAAGTGTCAAATAGGTAAACATATGTTGTATTAACTACTGAAGCTTTGTCAAACATACTACAAATGGGTTACATAATTGCTTTTAGCAAATGAACAGAAATAGTTTTTATTCCAATTACTAGAGGACATTTGACCAACTGATCTCCAGTGTATCTTCAGTTTGACCTGCAAACACACAAAATAATCACTTTATCATAATTCTGAAGTTTCCGTGAGAATAGGATTCAGTTTTTTGGATGTGATCTATTCAAATGTGTGTCTGTCATGCTGAGTTATGAAGATTTCTGTCTTCTGGGTTATTGCGCTGTGTAGTCTGGTCGATGTTAACATCGACCAGACTACACAGCGCAATAACCCAGAAGACAGAAATCTTCATATTCACCGCTGTGAGAACCTCAAGTCTTACATGCTGAGTTATGTCCAGTACAATTTTATGTTGTATAAAGCAGGGTTGCAACTATGTCTCTGTCTCAAGTATTATCTGAAGACCATACTGTCACTGGTGGTGTTAGGCTTACAGATAATCACTGTCTTAAGTCATAAGTCCTAGCATCTTCTTATGACCAACCATCACACCATTCTATGACAATACACAGAGAGAGAATTTCTATCTTTATTTATGTGAACAGTACAGAATTTATAAAATTATGCCAGACAGATGTCAGAAACCTTAACAGCATAGTTATTTTATGGGTCACACTTATTTAAATTTTATGGGATATTTCAAAGCAATCATAATTACAAAAAATATATGGAATGTGTCCATTTCTTAAACTGATTGTGCAGCAGGGTTGACATTTATGGCATTTGCTACATATAAATAAAAATAATTGTTTTATATGTGTAACCAATTAAAAAGGACTACAAAATGTGGTAAGATGCATGACATAAGGTCTATCTGAGAAGCTGAACAAACAATAATCAAAATATAAATCACATAGTTACTCCTGACATACTTGAACATAAGAAGAATTACATGTTTCGTGTACATAATGTAACCGAAAATGTTTCTATTACTAATATTAGTACCAGAATAATTCACAATACCTGCATGAAGAGTGCCATTCCCTCATATATCATCTGTTTGTGAGAATACTGACAGAAATATAAACAGGTCCTAAAATCTTTTGGTCAAAAACGAATATTTGTTGCGGCACGGCTTTCTAGATTGACGATCAGTTTAATTGGTACTAATTTTTGAACATAATTTGTAGATCGGAAAACCATATTTCATTATAAGTTTAACAAATTATTCACAGTGCTTACAGAGGAAACAAAAATAGATGCAGATCAAATATGTATCCGACCTTATCCAAACGCAGGTAAACACAAAATAATCTATTGCAAGCAGCTGCCATCTGTGTCACTCATATGAAACCAAACCGATGACGTATTTGTCGTTGCTGCTCTCATCTATCAGATTTCATACGAACCATTTGTGCCGTAATTGCCCGTCAAGAATGATAGGAGAATCTACAGAATGTTTTCTAAGCAAAATTTAGCTGCCATTTCTCACCTATGTTTTTGGTAGAGGCCTTGCGATAGGCTGATCTGATCACTCGTCCAAGAAGTTCCTATCAAATGTATAAAAAACTAAATAGATCAAGAAACGCGTAGGATCTGAAGCTTTCACGGCGACTAAGTATAATAAATTCTTCTCGGGCTACAACTACAGTACCCTGAGGACCAGGACAAAGATGGTTCTCGAAACGTTGGTGTTTTCTTCATTAAGCCACCTTACACGTCTTGTAGCTTGATAAGAATTAATTATAGGTCAAGAAATTTCCGAAAGGAGGCGGCCAAGACCCACAGTGGGTTGCAGAACCACAGGAAGAAGAAAAAGAATGTTATGAACATATATCGAGATTTTAATAACTGTGCTGCGTTGTAGTGCATGCACATAATGTCTACCTAAACAGCATTATCTTCGCAACTGTTATAATATATACCATAATGGCTATCCAGACAATCCGAACTTAAGTGATGTAAGGACTATACTTTTTGTTAAAAGTATAAAGCCCATACACCCATGTGCTCAGATATTTGTAATATATGTTTGATTACGTTTACCAATAACTGACTAAGCAACTAACTAATTAATGAACTGACTCCATGATGTGGAATCCTTCTTAGAAGCTAACAGTCAACCAGCTACGTAGAAAGCTCCCCTCTTTTCCGCATTTTATTTAACCAGAAATTCTATCACCATGTTCATTAGAACCTGCTACTGGTCCCTATCCTAAGCCAAATTAATCAAATCCAGACTTCATTTTAATATCAACTTCTCATCTAATCCTATGTCTCCAAAGTGATGTATTATCTTCAGATTTTGCAGCCAAAATTTTGTATGTATTTTCCATGTCTTCCAGTTGTTATACCTGCCTCATCCATCTCACCCTCTTTTGATTTAATTATCCTGTGTAAATAAATACCCTATGATCACGGTCCTTACGCGTGATAATGTTTACAATACATTCTGTCAGCCATTCACACAGTGATAATTCTAAACTCCTTCCGGAACAAACTAGATAAAATATTTAATAATATGGTATCAGCGGCTACGAAAGTGTACATTTTGTGAAATCGATAAGATCACGATATTTACAGAGCGAACACATTTATCTCTCTGTATACGCATTCTGTTATGTAACCTCTATACTCCTGTCTATAAATGACGTCTCCAATTTTATTGCCTTCCGATTCCTCCCCAAGCTCGCGAGCACGCACACACAGAATTTTAAAATGTTTGTATGTAAGCTAAATAATATTAAAGAAAGACATTTAAAACTAAATACGCAAAACACAGCATTTAGACTTCAAGTTCTACCGCAAAGAATTTTTAGGAGAGCTTTATTTTTAGCGAATATTTTCGATTATGCATTTACTCTAAATTAAAAAAAAATCTACAGTCCTATCTATTTACAGTACGTATTATAATTACTGCTAAATACTTTGTAGTAACATAGTTAAAGATTTATTTACACACACACATTGCAAGAGAAATAAAATTTATGTGTGAACGAGAGAATGTACATTCATGTGCAATTATGTGTTGCTGATATTTCGAAAGTTATGTGTATGAAAATTTGCATTAGTGCAACTTTTATAGGCTAGACGTAACTCGTCTCTCTCACAACGATATTAATTTAAGAATTCTTGTTTCCTATGAGACGCCTGTACTTGAAAGATTTCTTCTCTGATTTCAAATCTGCAATCGGATCTATAAGGAAGTTATATTACAGTGCAGAGAAGCAGATAATTTGAGCTCAAAGATGTTCAGCTGACGACTTCTGATCAAAGAAGGAAAGTAGGTAATACGAGTTGAAAAATAAAGGAGCAAATACGTGCCATATCCTGTATTTAGGATTTTGCGTACTTCATTGTTCTTCAGGTATATTTATTGAAACTGCAATTTAGCTTACTATAACCGTAAGATCACCATGACAAATATATTTGTGCTCTTACAAGTGTAAAGGGACTTAAGAATTACTCTGGTGGGTTCAGTCCGTCGACCACGTATTAAATCCTTAAGAGAGTGGCTAGATTTATTTTTTAAGATTGCCCTTGAAAACCTTTATTTGAGTATACTGATAATGCCAGAGCATGTAGACATTATAAAAAAATTCAAAACCCGATTCTCTATCCCTCGCTTCGTAATCTCGCCAGAAGTTTGTTTTTCTTCAGATATGAACATTCAGAAGCTACTATATGTGTGTTCATTCTTATAAATTATAGCCAGAAAATGATACAGAGGTAAACACTGACAGGAAGTAGACAGATTCAGGTAAGTTCATGAGCTTGATCCTAACATTCATAAGCTTATAGCATAACGTGGCACGTCTAAACATTCTTAAACTCAATGTGCCTTTCAAGTTGACTGTCTGGATGTTAGAAACTTTTTTAAGTTAGGGTTTTATGAGATTTGAAATGAAGATTTTTTATTTAATCCATTCTTTTCGGCTAACTAAATGAGCCAGCATAAGGATCCGCCCGTCACTACGTCACCATTTGAGGTACTTTCAGTTGTAGTTTTTCACGGAGCAATTTTTTTTTTGAAATTATACGTTTCATAACTTCTAAGTGGTAAGCCTTAGAAAATGGCAAGGAATAATCAGTTTCAACAGGCCCGTAAATACATTCCTGAATTTATGCTGAGTCTAGAATATGTAGAAGGAAATTCTATTCCCTAAATATGTCGGGGGTAAAAATATAAGTGAACAAAGATTATTATTTTCACTAATTACCGAATATCTAATATTAGCCACAGAGTGTTCAGAAAACCGATGAAAAGAAATTAAAGTTAAATTAAACCGTGAAATAAAAAATAATAACCAAAAATTATCTTGTAAACTTTTCAACGAACATAACTAAATTATGAAGTTATAATAAGCCACAAGGCACTGAAAATATGATGATGGGATATTTCTTAAGATAACATAACATATGTAACATGCCTACAAATTGTAGAACAATTATAAATATTGTATTTAAAAGTGTGTGAGAAGAAGTGGTCGTGTGATACCAGAAGTGTTGTATTAGCAATTGCTTGAACAACCAACGTAAAAAGTTATAACATCAGGCAAAATCAACTTTTGCTAGAAGGTCTATGAATAACCTATTAAGTTACGTGACTAATAAAATATTATGTTGACATGTCTGAAAACAGACAGCTTCGTGTGTGATACACAAAATGGCACCCAGGAACGAAGAGGAGCGTTTCCCATTGTGGTGGAATCCTGTTCTTCGCGAAGCACCGCCTAAGTCCGCAGAGCTGTTCCTTAAGGACAAACAGAGGGATGACGGTGCCGAGGGGCTATGGCGCGTCCACGATGGTCTCTATGACATTTCCTCCTTCATAGACAACCATCCAGGTGGCTCAGAATGGTTACGACTCACCAAGGTTAGCAACAAATGCAATTTATCTGTTTAAAAATCCTTGTGCATTTACAAGTCAAGTGTATAACCTAAAGCGTGTTGTGTTATCCCAAATGCATATATTTTATTTTTTTATTGATTACATTGAGCCTATGTTAATATGTTTTCATCGTTCTTGTCTCACCGATGTTAGGGGACAGATATCACGGAAGCGTTCGAAGCTCACCACACTACAACTGCAGCAGCTCATATGTTGGAACTTTTTTATGTGAGGCGAGCCTCTACGCCACGAAACTCACCCTACACTTTCCACAAGGTAATAAATATTGCTTCGTGATTATAAACTATTTACTCAGGTGTTCATCTGTTTCTGCATACCATTCGCCTTTCCTCACCTTGCCTGTATCGAAGAGGTTGAAATCTACTCTATTGAATAGTGGTTAATATGCTTCCTTACTGTCGTCGAGTTATTTCACGTAGCACAAGTAACATCCTTCTTCTGCACTTATATTACAAGTATCATGATGATCTGGGTTATGACATTTCGTTAGTGCCCACATGCAAGTGACAGCGTCAAAACTCAAAAGACCATCATGGATATTTTCATTGCCGTTAGAATTTCAGATTTCACGCATAAAGAATTTTAAGTAAATGGTGTGAAAGAACTTGTTTTACCATGTATTTCATGTCCGCTCGATTTGTGGTATTTTTCACATGCACCTAGACAAGAGATGTGCCATGTTTAAAAGAACTCGTCGTTACAATGTCATCCTAACACGTGCATTACGCTCACTGTTTTAATGTTGCATGCTTCAGATGGAATTCATGAGCTGTGCACATGTATTTTCTGTTCATTAGGATGGGTTTTATCGTACCCTACAACGACGAGCACGGGTTGCTCTGGCTGGAGTTCCCCGAGGCCCCAACTTCGCTTCTGCCCTTATAGCAGATTTGCTTGCTCTGGGCACGATAACGTTCTCCGTGCTGGCCGCTGCCACCAGCAGCTATTCCATGGGAACCTTGGCTGGTCTCCTTGTGGCACTGAACGTCGTCACAGCCCACAACTTCCTGCACCAGAAGGACAACTTCCGCATGTATTATTTCAACCTGTCTTTCATGTCGTTCAGGCGAGTAGTCCATGGAAATGATTGATATATTATCTGTTGTTTATTATAAACAATTTACCAAGCATTTATGAGAATTAAGTGCATATTTTAGTTTTCTAAATTATTCTAAACTTGATTTATCATGGTGTCTATGTGGTGGGTGTGCGACAAATCTAAATATATTTTTTAACGAACCGTAAATTGTAACAATTCATTTTAAAATTATCAACTCTTCTTCTCGTATTCAATTACTGCATCATGTTCAGATTTTGACTATTTTAATTAATTTCATTATTGTAAGAAACCGAAGCATCGTGTGACCAGTAATTTTTGTAATTTTTGCCAATACTTTATGAAACATTATTTTGGTTTCTGTCTTGCTGTACGTTTGTTTTAATCTTCGAAGTATGTGGGACCCAAAATTGTTAAGTTAATTCCTATTCATCAGCTGTGCACACGTTAAAAGAGGCCAGCTGACAGAACACAGATAAAATTAAAGACTTAGAGCCTACACCTAAAAATAATCGAATCGAATTTTTGGTAGTACCATTTCAGTCACGCCGGTAGGCGTGTCTCGGTTTTCTTAGCTTATTAGATATACATATCCTTCACAACATCTATAATTGCTATATGTCTGCAGATCCTCGTTTGTGGAGACGAGATGTACTATGTTAAGGTGAGTTTAGCATTAAGGCACGGTTCTCAGGTTGCTAAAAGTTAATTGTGTTTACAGAGACTGGCGAGTGGGGCACGCTATGAGCCACCACCTGTTCCCCAACTCGCTGCTCGATCTGGACATCTCCATGTTCGCTCCACTATTCCAGTACCTGCCGGACCCTTCCAAGACCTTGTGGGGCCGTTACGGCCCCTGGATCTACAGTCCGTTTATCTACAGCATCATGTTTCACGGACACATGTTTCTCAGGTAAGCCTTAACCCTAGACCTCGATTCCCTGTCGCCTATGTATCTATCTATTCGTCTTCTGATTAAATTACGTCACTAAAGGACACATTTTAGAAAAATTTGGTTTGAATTTTATGACTCTGGAGGCCAGCTTATCTTTGTACTTTGCAACTCCCTGTGACACACTGTTACTTTTTCGCTAGCGTGTCATCTCAGAGGCATGGCTTCAGTCAGACAGGTTTTCTCCGCATATTTAGAATTACCCTATCCATCATCCTTCCGTCGAAACTCCACACCCATCTATCATCTCCATCATGTGTCCACAGAAACTTAGTGTTGCTACTGCTCGGTTACAAATTAAGGTTATAAATTAAAATTTTTATGAACGAAAGTTAAAAACAAAATAGCATTAGACAAAAAAATATTCTAGGCAGCCAAAAAGCATTCTGTCATAGCATAGGCCTGATTATGGAAGAACGCTGGGTATCATATGAGGCAGTAAAAGCTAAATGCAACATACTGGTTGACTGATGATTTGTAAGAGTAATATTCCCAGAAAATCTGTTTCACAGACACATTGTCCACTATAAATTCCACGTTTAATATCTTGACATTGAACCCAGGCCTTAGTAATTAGAAGTCATTGCACCATGTGGCTTTGTAGCGCGGTCTCCACATTAAGAAAATATTTACGCTTCTTTATGTCGTATTTTTAAATTCATAAAAATACTTTTCTATTAATATTATACAAAACCTGTTCAAATTTTCTGTACCATTTTCATGACAAAATCACTTTTTATACAAAGACGTGATATATATACAGTTTGATGCGGTTTATGGAGTATGTGTGTGTTATATAGGCCTATACATATTGTAAACACCAGACACTAAACATCTTGTTCTATTTTAAACAGTCAAATATTTATGTCAGAGTACTTTTAGCACAACTAATTTAACAGTTCTATGTGAAGAATTAAAACCAGTTAGCAAGGGTGAAATGCACGCCGTGTATATCCAGTCTGTGAATGTGTTGACACAGATTGTGGCCCTTGGCTAAGGGAAGGATTGATTCTCTACGCTTGGATGACGCTATACCTCTTGTGATCCCTGTGTCAATGATGGCGTTTGCTGGTGTGAGCCCCGGGGATGCGTTCTGGATGTGGATGTGGGTCACAGTAACCTCAAGCCTCTTCTTCCACATCATTGCCTTCAATGGAGCTCATCACCATCCTGAGATATTCCACGAGGGGGACGCCCCCAGGTATTCTGTGTTTCTGTGTCTCATTCGTTTCCGTAGTAGAATGTTCAGAATCATTCCACTGGTAATTACTTTTAAATTGTTACAGCATAACCGCTAACGTATTAATAGATCATGAACTCGTTTATCTTTCACACATGTTATTTTTGTTGGACTTAAACCACTTATAAATCAACAACATAAAAAATACATACTGCATAAACTGTTCACAAAAGTTAGAAAATGCGTCCTCTATAAATATGCGATGGTTACTCTGACTTCAGTAGACGAAAAGCGTGAATTTTGGATTTGTAAAGATCCATTTCAGATCAGAATGATGCCTGACATATAGACCTAGATTTAGACGAATTGCATATTTTGCAGAGTATTACGCACTGTAACCTAAGCTACTGTTAGCGTCGTTAGCAAACTTCTGATAAACAAATCAGTAAATGAAGCAAATTGTCCCTGGGACTCATTGCACAGTGGATTATGGAAAGGATTTTAAAATTGTGAGATTTTTTGTTTTCGCGTAGTAAAGATGATGATGTTATATCTGAATAGGCCCTAAACACTATGTTAATAATTTTTCAGTGTCGAACTTTATTATTATTAAATTTATTTGATATATGTAGGTACCAAGTGATTAAATATTTGATGAACCAAAATAACCATTTATATCTGTTTGAATCTTTGTATTATGGGAAGACGAAGACTGGATTGTAATAAATTCCTTCGTATTTGGTAGGCCTGTGATCATACAGTCATGACGATTAGACATAATAACCAGTTCCTTTCTATGGTCTGAAGTGTCAGAACATACAGATTCAATTTTGTCTTAGTCACATGTGTTACGTCCACTGAGCTCTCTGTTTAGTTCATGGATGTGCCGTTGTTGCAGAGGTGACCGGGACTGGGGTCTGGCTCAGTTGGATACCGTGAGAGAGCGACCAGCGGTGAACAGTTCCTTATTTGCTGCTCTGACGAACTTTGGTTATCACGGACTGCATCATCTGTTCCCTGCCGTGGATCACAGCCGTCTTCCTATTCTCTACCCCGCACTGAAGATTACCTGCGAAGAGTTCCGTGTCAGTTTCGCAGAGTATTCACTCCTCGAGATGTACAAGGGGCAGTTTCAGCAGATTGCTAGAAACAAACCGAACCTCGTTCCGCCGGGACAAATAGACATCGGAGAAGTGACACGCCATAAATAGAGTTCCCGGAATTGGGTACGTTTGGCTTCTCCAGAATCTCTAATCACTAATGACAATAGCATTCAAGCTACAAAGAAAATTATAATTATTTGAAATGTTCTACTGAAAGAAAAGTTTAATAAAATATACTTCGTTCAAGATTTCGTGATTGATAAAATCTTGTGCTAGGTCCATTAAGCAGATCAATTTTTAGAAGCGCTAGTCTCTCCGTTAGATAAGAAATCTTCCATCTTTTATTGAATCCGAATGTTCATTATCGTGTTAACAAGAACCTATTACACTGGTCCCTATCCTGAGCCGAATTAATCCTTCATGTCCTGTTTCTAAAACGACACTTTCGATGAATTAAATAGATAACAACATATTATATGGGCCTGTGATTAGTAATAGTTATAGGCATCAGATGTGGAAGGAAGTGTGCATATGCAGCCTATTTTAAGACAATATCACGTAATTATTTTCGAGAGACTACGGAAAACATTGGAAAATATCTGTTGCATTAGTCAGTAATCTGATCTAATTTCGAAAATGGGCACCTTCGAAATATATCATTACCGCTACACCAACTCGTTCGAACAAATACGAATAATTATTGCAGCCGAGATATGAACCAAGAATTTTTTAATAAGCAGAAGCGATGGTTACTAAATCACGATAAAGCTAAGTTGCTTTCGTTGTTCCATTAGAACCATCATAACGCTTGCATATTCAGCTCTCTGGTGAATTGTCAAGACTGCCTGTACTGGCACAGATTTCGTCTATATGCGAATGAAAACTCATATGGGCTATTATAACACGAGCAAAACAGCTTCTCCATAAAACATGGCATGAAAAATTGATGGCTTGCTGCCTTCCCAACTCCATTTTGAATATATTAATACGTCACGAATATTGAACCAGTACATAGCACTTTTGCCCAATAATTAACAGAGAGCAATTTAGGTCAGAGGTGATAGGTGGACTTCATTTCGGAAAGGCATCCATATAAAATTTTATATGGTCCTAAAATTTGGTGGCTGTAGTGTGTTATTGGGACATTTCATATCGATATTATCTATTGCTTATGTTTAAGAATTTATAAATTTAAACATTATGGAGTCCGGCTTTTTCTCCGTTTTAAAGTGGAACACAAAAATAAACAGGAGATGCCTACTATGCAGCGGAACTGACACGCCTGATAGTTTTTTCGTATGAAAATGGCTGTCGACTGTCATGTTGGTCAGTGTAATCTGGAAGATATTGACCGACGATTCGGAGAGGATTATTTTTTCCATCATCAGGGCGATGCCCTCATTTTACCTGAGGTTTGCGATTCACACTGCGGTGATGCCAGTAATGGTATTTTTTGGTTTTGACGCCATATGGTCTTGCCGGTGGTTACCTACGTATCAGAGGAACGTCACCCTGAAACTGGGTGCTATACATTTCTCAGAAACTTTAGTAACTACCTGAAATACCACACGAAGTCAACCCGGAAGACCACCTATTACACTGGTCCCTATCCTGAGCCGAATTAATCCTTCATGTCCTGTTTCTAAAACGACACTTTCGATGAATTAAATAGATAACAACATATTATATGGGCCTGTGATTAGTAATAGTTATAGGCATCAGATGTGGAAGGAAGTGTGCATATGCAGCCTATTTTAAGACAATATCACGTAATTATTTTCGAGAGACTACGGAAAACATTGGAAAATATCTGTTGCATTAGTCAGTAATCTGATCTAATTTCGAAAATGGGCACCTTCGAAATATATCATTACCGCTACACCAACTCGTTCGAACAAATACGAATAATTATTGCAGCCGAGATATGAACCAAGAATTTTTTAATAAGCAGAAGCGATGGTTACTAAATCACGATAAAGCTAAGTTGCTTTCGTTGTTCCATTAGAACCATCATAACGCTTGCATATTCAGCTCTCTGGTGAATTGTCAAGACTGCCTGTACTGGCACAGATTTCGTCTATATGCGAATGAAAACTCATATGGGCTATTATAACACGAGCAAAACAGCTTCTCCATAAAACATGGCATGAAAAATTGATGGCTTGCTGCCTTCCCAACTCCATTTTGAATATATTAATACGTCACGAATATTGAACCAGTACATAGCACTTTTGCCCAATAATTAACAGAGAGCAATTTAGGTCAGAGGTGATAGGTGGACTTCATTTCGGAAAGGCATCCATATAAAATTTTATATGGTCCTAAAATTTGGTGGCTGTAGTGTGTTATTGGGACATTTCATATCGATATTATCTATTGCTTATGTTTAAGAATTTATAAATTTAAACATTATGGAGTCCGGCTTTTTCTCCGTTTTAAAGTGGAACACAAAAATAAACAGGAGATGCCTACTATGCAGCGGAACTGACACGCCTGATAGTTTTTTCGTATGAAAATGGCTGTCGACTGTCATGTTGGTCAGTGTAATCTGGAAGATATTGACCGACGATTCGGAGAGGATTATTTTTTCCATCATCAGGGCGATGCCCTCATTTTACCTGAGGTTTGCGATTCACACTGCGGTGATGCCAGTAATGGTATTTTTTGGTTTTGACGCCATATGGTCTTGCCGGTGGTTACCTACGTATCAGAGGAACGTCACCCTGAAACTGGGTGCTATACATTTCTCAGAAACTTTAGTAACTACCTGAAATACCACACGAAGTCAACCCGGAAGACCTCCATCGATATCCGGAATTTTAAACTGCTCCATACCTTGAAGGAAATCTTTCAGTAAGAGGCAGCCTTGAGGAGAAATGATTCTTGTTGAAATTACTTATGAATGTAATAATTGACGAGATGCGACGTGGGACTGAGACCTGCACTGTCTACAGTAGATCGACCTGCTCATTTTCCTGAGGGATGAGCCTGACTGCTTAATTTTACGTTCATGTTACACGTAACACGGGAGTAGTAATGGCGTCGTTAATTATTTAGTGCCCCAAGTAATTCTGTTTTGTAGAATTCTTCACTATTTTTCAATATAGCGTCAGCTTCAGGATCAGAAATTTGAAAGCAGTTGCTAGAGATGCAATACAAACCAAACGTGCTGTGTTTAGAATCAATGTGTGTTTGCTCTATAAAACATTCAGTTTATGTCTGATATCCAGGACAAATAATGCTTTTGTAAGGTTCTAGTTGAGTGCGCTTGTTTGTTGCATAATAATCATAATTTTATCAATCATAATTATCGTAATAACAAATGTGTTGGGTTGGATACTTATGACTTTATAAGAGATCCCGGTAAATAATGGTAGTGTTTTGAAATATTTTTCAACTATTTGATAAGAAACAAAATTTAAACATTTCTGCAATTTTATGTTTGTTTTCACTAACAAACTGCTTTTAATATTTAACTTCAAAACTTATATTATACAGCCTTATTCCTTATTTCTTAACTATTTCTCACCTGCAATCCAGTGGCCATTAAAATAATGTGGCAGTAGAGATTTTGCCCACATGCGTGGCTTTTAAATCCATCTACATTACCCAAGATATGTCTCTATTACGCCTAATAGGACGCATACAGAGAAATTAATTATAGCGCCCCTCATTAAGGAAGCAGAAGGGATTTAGTTGATTGTAATGCCATTGAACTCACAGAGGTGAGTATTGATTTACAAAATATAATTATTGACGGAATTGCCCTAATTCGTATCCCAGGTGGAAATTAATTGCCAGCATTATCGTTTTCACAGGATGACGTGACCGTGCATTAATGCTGCAGTGGATCCACATTTTCTGCTTATTCAGGACGTTCCGGCTATGTCCAACCGAGTCATGTCACGTGATTATTATGGTCCCACAACAACAACTTATCAGAAAGAAAACTGTCATAATCCTTTCGCAACGAGTAAACCTGAGAGATTTTGAAAAACTTTTCTCGTAGACTTTGGCGTATAGGTACCGCTGAAATGTTTTAGCAACTCTCACTGCCTGATTTTATTTCTCCTTCGGTATTTTATATCTCCGGTTTGAAAATGGAAGTAATAAGGCTGTCAGTAACAGTTTTACGTCTTCTCAAGACTGCGGGGGAAATGTAAAGAGCAAGAATTACAAATTTCTTGATGTGTATGAAATTTCCTGGTTGGAAAATATGCCGCCAGCAAGCGTATAATTAATTATTCGTACTCGCGCTGTTTTAATGAAATGTAATTTTTACTTTACTTCTTTTTAACATTAAAGGAATCGCTCCATCTAATTCTGAAGTGTCTGTCTACATTTATGGCTCTGAAAATCGAAGAGCTGAGAAAATATGGGGTTATGCATAAAAATTCTGTTATAAAACTGGCCCCATATTATAATTATTTTTCCAGCTATCAATAAATTTATCCAGTGCATTTTACACAATCATATACGTAAATAAAAACCACAAACACAGTCAAATTATTCATCTACGCCTCTGTTATGTTTCCAACATATAAATAATAATTTTGTTTATATCTTGACTAGATGGGAAACTGTTATTGTTTATCTGTGATTTGCTTCTATAAATATCCATCAGTGTTTTGATTACAATATTTTCATCATTATGCTCTGTTCACTACAATGTAAACGAAAAGAACTAACGACTTGATATGATGATTATGGGCTGTGAAATGTAGGAGACTGGAGAGAAGAGATTGCCATTTTAAGGTACTGGTAACTGCAGTGAAAAACTGAGGAAATTAACCAAAACGTAATTACGAAAGCTTGATTAATGGCGCTCGATGTGTCTCTCTGGTGGTATGTGGATCACAGTTTGGGGCTTAATACTGTGGACAATTGTACGTGATGGAACGCAGAATACGAGGCCTTATATATTGCGTAATGTGTTTAAAGTGTAAACCGTTTCCTATGGAAGAAGAATAGAATCCACTGGTCTGTTAAATACTCCCATCCTCAGTTCTCAGAATGGACAGTTCGCATAGAGCGCTTCATCAGTTCTACTCTCGCTTCGAAACAAAGGATATTTGTTACGCGTCGCGATGTTTTCAGGTAGATGTTTTGTAGCGCTCAGTATTTGTTGTACACTATAAAGTAATCTTTCAGGAGGAATTCAATAACAGTATTTCATAATGGAAGAGTTTCTTATAAGAAGGTACTGAAACGTTCCTACATTCAAGCAGTTAACGTACAG